GGTAGGCAGAGGCGCACATTACGGCTCTTATCGCCACTGTACAATGTAACACCCACTTTTTCACTATTTATATTGTGAGTCCTATGTAATAGAGGTGAGCCTATTTGCCATATACCGGACACAATTACAGACTCCGTGTTGATACTTAGATTTTTCAAAAAGCAATGTAATACTTTCAAACAATTGAGAACGCACCAGTGAGCCTATCAAAATAATATCAATTAAACTTTAATAACAATCAACCCAAATGTTTACTAGAAAAAAATATTTATCTCTTGCAAACTATTGTTGTTATTATGACTGAGATTATAGAATACACGCAGTTCTTTTATAGAAATTCTGTTTAAATTGTCAAATGTGTCAAGAAATACATTCATTTCGAATAATCTCAGTACAATGTATGCATGTTTGTAATTGTATGTATGTATTTTCAGACAAAATTTATGAAATTAAGATAAAGGATACCATTTTTTAGATAACAGAATAAGTCTCAAGGAAAAAAGATACGGGCAAGCGTTTAAGGTGAATTTTATATAATAAAACCCACAAATGAGTAACACAATATTAATGAACGAAAAATGAGAAATGTTGAAGTTGAGATACATTTGTTTAATATAAGTATTGAACTACAAGGGTAGGAGAATACAACATAAAATACTATGACAAATAACTATCATACTGTGGCATATGATCATTGGTACCTATCCAAATCTTAAGGTTTTTAAATTAACCCTTCTTGTATGTCGATATATGACACAGAATAGAAAACGCATTGTTTTGAGTATATCTACGCTCCGATATACCAGAGGTCTACTTCATAATCACTTTAATTCAAGAAATGAGAACTAACTAATTACAGAAAATAGTCATTATGTTATACATAATGATTTTAAATGTAGATAACATTGGCATTTTCCAAATGAAATCGTATTAAACTACAAACTAAAAATATATTTTTTTACTTTAATATTACACCTAACATTCTGTCTAAAGAGTTTACATTCATAAAATAAAATAATTTAAACATAAATACAGACATGAAAATATATAAATCAACTTTATATTCGCGATACAACAGATTGGATATCAATGCCGCGCTTAATTCATCGAGCATTCATCTCATCATAATAATGTTATGATAATCAAATGCGCCGCCGGGTAAAATTGGAAACACGTAACGGGACATATAAGCCAATAGGCAGCCAGCCTACTTTTCTGACAATATTAACATTCAAAGCGAGTGAGAATCATTCCAGTATTATTTAGACATGATTCCGAACACTTATTAGGAGTTAGTCCTGTATTTAGAACTGATATATTTACAATATGTTACACGAACATCCTGTACATGAGATCACAACGTACGACAGTACCAGTACAGTAACAGTACGACAAGCAAAAATAATATATACAAATAAATAAAACTATATACAAATACATATATAACATAAAAAATCATTGGAAATCTGTACATGATTGCATGAAGTGGAAACTCTGTTTTGTGACCGATTATTAGCGATAAATATAACCCGGTAATCGTTAGTACAATTTACCGATAGAACATATGAAGCAATATTAGTACATGTAGGCCATACCAGCAAATATGTGTAATGAGAATTTATATCTGCATGTCATGTTATTACACCAATACCTAAATGAATAAGACATCTTTCATTTATCAGATCAACACCACATCTCCTCAAAATATGACATTATAAAAGGGATTTTAAGGCGTATAATACATGGTTAATATTAATACAATTTAGGTTAACAGCTGGGTAAAATGTAATAACAAATTCTGGGCCGTACATAATAAAATATTTTATTGAATACCTTGAAGTAGTGTTTAGTGATAAATGAACGATGTCCTGGAAGCGACAAAACATGTACAGAAGCCCAGAGATTAGAAAGAAATGTAAATAAAAACAATAAAGGAGGCTCACACTGAAAAGTGGTAGGCTAAGTTCTCCTCAGAGTTGTATGCGATTTTCACTAAGCTGTTAAGGAAATCGGCCAACTCTTGCGGCCTTCTCCTGTGGAATAAATTATATGCCTTTAATATTATTCACTGACTGCAGTTGTGGCGGGGAAGAGTGCAGTGACTAAACTAATGAATACTGCTCTCAGACCAGAAAACTTAGATGCATTAATATTTTCAATATCTCTGGTATTAAGTTGGTACGGCCTATTCGTTGACGCTTCTTTCTAAGCTCCTTTAAAATCATATACTCTTCAATGCTGAAAACAAATGCGTTGTTATGAAGTAATATAGTGAGTGACTTACCGGCTGACTTCAGCGTGTGCCTTGATGAGCTGTGCGTGTATGAGCGAGCACAGCTTGTAGCAGACGTTCTTGCCGAGACTGGGGTCGCCTTCCGCTGTCTCCGTGGAGGCTGGTGACGTACATATATCATAGCATCATGAATTCATTTGAAACTGAGACTGATTTGCATGTAAGTGAAGAGATGGTCTCTTTGAGAAACAGTCAACGAGGACTGTACAGAATCAAGTAAGACAGAATAATAGAAGAGACTCAGCAGTGCATGACTCCGGTATTAAATAATGTTGTAAATGGTACTTACGATTTTCATTAAGAGCTATTTCTTGTGTACATACAGCCGTGTCAGATCCGGTCGCCTGTGCAGTGTCTATGTTCAAATGTAGCTGCTTCTTTGATACACTACACTCGATCTGTAAAGGATATAGCAATGTCAGAATATTACGAATGTAAGACAAATCTTTATCTTCATTAAGTTATCGGATATTTTATAAGGCAAAGGCATAAGTTACATGTTATACTTTAAGATTAGCTGATCATATTTTATGACCATTTATGTAGACATTGTACGCATCCCAAATTGCACAATAATGACATATAAAAACATTGAAAACAAAACAAATATCTAAGAAAATAATGAAAGGCAACATTTTTTTAGTTTTGTATAGAAAACTGTAAAAGATTAATAGACAATAAGACATATCTCACCTGCATCGGCTCAACAGTGACGTTAGACGTGATGATGGCGCGAGTGCCGTCGGGTTGTAGTGTCTGTAGTGCTTGCAGTGGGCGGTCCAGGTCGTCGTCCACCAGCATGGGGTCCGGCGGCGGGGACGGGGGCGCGGGGGACGCCGCCGCGCTGTCCGCGGGCTCACTGGGCGCGAACAGTCGCGCGAGTTGTTCGTGTACGCGCCGCTCTCCTGCGCGAGGAGTTACTGCGCCACGCTCGCGTACGCGTTCTAGAAGACCCTGAAAGATCATGGACTATTGTAATACTAAGTCATGTTTTATATTAAATAACGTAAAATGGGATGAATAGGGATCGAGAGCTGAATAGGGCTGTCCCTATTCCCCTATTATATATAACTCTTCTGTAAGAGAGGTGAATAGATATAAGGAAATTCTTCATAGTATCGATTCACCTCTCTTCTATCCCTTTTTGCCGCTCAAACCCTATCACCCCATTTTACCGTTACGCCTATAATTCCCACTTTCACTTTCCAACAGCGATCATTCGTAATTCGTAAGCGGTTTGAATAATACAGTGAGAAATTATAAATATTATGAGCCTATAGGACCATCAGAAATTGTGACGCATTTATTTCTAAACCACAATTGTAAAATAAAAAAACATGTTGGATCTTACCAAAAAGTGGTCTTCATGAAAGAAGGATGTACCCATTAGACGGTCTAAAAATCGGCAATCTTTGTATAAGTTTAACAGCTTGCGCATTATCTGGAAACAAACGACAAATCTAAGCAGCTTAGTTATACTAATTATTTATAATTTAATAGTATTTATTAGGATAATATTATGGGATAATATACACATTATTGCTAGATAGAGACACTATAAGGGTACAGAGGAAATATAGAGCAAAACAAAATTGAATATAACGAAAAAAATTTGGTATCGGATTTCCGATACTTTACGTAAAATTTTATTGAGTGGTGTGGTGACGTGCGACCTCACCATGACATCATTTTCATTCAAAATTTAACTTACAAGATGTGGGTCATGTATCGGAAAACCGATACCTAACATATTGTATAGGCAAGCTAGTCAGTCTGGCCGGTCGTAAATAAAAAAATAAATAAGTTATAATAATTAACTAAAATAAAAGAAAACTCCTTTCAAAACTTTAATACATGTTCATTGAAATTCTAATCAATATTTTTCTACAGAACAAAATAAAATCACAATGTAATCAAAATGAGGAAGCGAAGGTTTTTGGCAGTGTATAGAGTTATCAATTGGGTTGTAAATCATACGGTATTATTTCTTCTAAATCTCTTGCTTCCTTAGTAAAAAATAACGGTAATCCACCTCCAGGGCACTCGTAACGATCACTTTCAAGGTACGCCGGCCCGACGCCGACAAAAGTATCCTTCAACGTCATCATTGCATCCCGAAGCGAATGATGTAGGATGCTCCGGGATGCACAGGCGCCCAGTGCCACCTCCTGCTTTACATTTTATATTTACACCGCTCCCAAACTCAAATGATGTGCATATGAACATGATGCTTTGAAATGATCTCTAGTGCTAAGCATTGCATAAATTAGCGAATCAAACTATTAGAATAAATCACATCATTAAGTCGGCCGGAGTACTGACACCATCACGTTGAGCCACAAGCCGTCACATGCATCCTCCGCGCTCACCGCGTCGCATGCCGAAGCATCCTTTCTGTCACCGCTCGCAGCCGTGAAGGACAACTTTACAACATTAGCAACATCGCACGCAAGTACAGTATTGTTCGGCCAGAGAAAGATACTTTTGCGAAGTCGGTCCGGGAGTGGCGTGTCGCGGCCTACCTACCTCGTACGTCTCTAGCGCGGGCTCTTTGTGGAACCTGTCCTGCAGGTTGCAGACGCTGCCGAATAGCCGCTGCATGAGCGTCGTCACCGACGGCTTTAACAGCGGCGGCACGGTCACGGACGTCGGCAGGGACCTTAACAGAGACAGGAGCTTTACCTCTTGGCTCTGTAATGTAGGGTGCTTAGCGAACATCTCCTCCAGTTTCCTCATGGCGACGCGGCCGCGCTCGATGTGCGCCGCCACGCGCGGCTCCAGCAGGCGCGGCACGGCCGGCGGGCCCGCGCCCCCCGCGCCCGCCGCGCCCCCCCGCGCCCGCGCCCTCGCCCGCCGCCGCGCACGAGCCGCACTCCGCGCCCACTGCACACACAACACAATGTAGAGCCGGCCACACCAGCACCCAGCACTGCGACTGCAACGTACCGGCGGCGGGCGCGACGTCGGGCGGCGTGGCGGGCAGTGCGTCGGGCGTGCGTGGCTCGGGGTCGTGCGCGGAGCTCTGTGTCTCCCAGGAGTCCTCCGACCCGGAGCCCTCCGAGCCCCATAGCTCCCCCTCCTCACTGTCATACTCGCCAACCTGCCGGACATTCAAACACATTACAATTCGAATCAAAATATTGCTTCCATAAAATCTCGTAAATTCATAAATTGATTAAACATTCGTATTTGGTAATCGTTCTTCTGTCATATTATAGGTAAAGTTGATGTAAAACATTACTATTAAAATTGTAAATTTTCGTATTTACGTGTCTCACCTTATATAAATCCTGTGGCCAACACATACTAGTGTGTCCATCCACCCACCATACTTTGACGCGCCCAGACGGGAAGTTGTCTATTACCTTCAAACAACAAAATTAACAAACATTAAAAAAATGCAGACTATAAACATAGTACAGTAAATATTCATCATTAGGTAAAATTAAGTAAAACAATTACAGTGGAATTGAAAGTAAATTCTTCATGTAAGTAGATAAAATTGTAATATACAGAGTGTTTGGTTTCGGATTTACGATACATTATAATTATCTGTGTTCATAATAAAATTGTATTGGTTCAGACCCTACGAAACAGGTTATTCTCTTCATTGCTCAATGAGAAACATGGTGAATATTTTATTTCTCTTTTTTCCAATACTAACCTGTCCAGCTGTACAGTTAGCGTCCTCCCCTGTAAAATTGGCGACCCTGATGACGACGGTGCCGGGCCGGTACTGGAAGTCAGGGTGGTCCTTCAGGTCGTAAACGCTCACCTCGCTCTCGTGTAACATTTGTGGCCTAGCAAATATAAAGAATCAGGGTAAACTTGGATTTCTTCTTCAGTGATATTTTTGAGATTTATAAATAATAATAATTTATTAATAATAATGGAATGGTAACCGTAGAACATTTTTCATCATGTAACGGACTGACTAAATTGATTTTGTGTCTCTTGCTCTTCTGCTATATTAAGATATGAAATTATGATAGCGTCTAACTTCAGTTCTACTGGCTCTTTCTGTATAGGAAGTTCCAAACTGACCCAATTATGGTACCAGGATGAACTGAGTACTATAAAACACATGAGAATAGAACATGACTCACACTGGTTCGTCAGCGCTGGTGTAGGTGCGGTACCAGTGTACGATGGCGGTCCGGCCGTGGTGGTCCACGCGCTGCACCACGCCGTACTCGCGGTGCTTTAACTACAACAAACATAATTTCATAATCAGACTGCACGGTTGGTGCGGTGGCTGGGCAACCGGCCGCCGTGCAACGTGTCGCGGGTTCGATTCCCGCACGAATCACTCTGTGTGATCCACAGATTGTTGTTTCGGGTCTGGGTGTCATTGTGTATGTGAACTTGTATGTTTGTAAACGCACCCACGACACAGAGTAAATCCTAAAGTGGGGCAACGTTTTTTTTTTAAAAAAAAGAAAAAATTTAGATTAGACTAATAATCGATTTTAGTGCAAAATCTCTTGATCAAATTAAGTTTAGTCTTCGTTTAATAGACATTTATGTTAAAGATATACAACACTATTTCTCCTTCCTTGGAAATACCTGTATTTTAAATTGTTGACAAGTTTCATTCAATTATAGATACTCTCATTACGTTTCGATATTCTTTAAATATATTAATGAACGATATTCACCTGTTGGTTCTCCTCGACATTAGCTGCTCCGCTGACAACGAAGTCACCAGGGAAGCACTCCTGCCCGTCTAAATGGTGGATCGGATACAGTTGTGTGGATGGAATGCCCATTTCTATTGTGCCGTCCTGTGGAGTACATAACATGATATGACGAGATATTGCAGACAAGTTAAAGTGCCACTAGGCAATTGCCTAGTGGCACTTTAACTGTATTACATGTAATTACATCGTTCGTGAAATTACAGGCCCATTTTTTTATGGCGTAATCCGGTAAACGAGCAGACGGATCACCTGATGATAAGCAATCGGCGTCGCCCATGGAAACTTGGAACATCAGAGGCGTTACAAGTGCGTTACAAGTGCGTTACCGGCCTTTTGGGGATTAGGAGTTTGAGGATCATTGGGGATTCAGGAATTGGGGAGATTGGGGGAAGGGAAGGGTAATTGGGCCTTCGGTAATTTCACTCATACGACGAAACACAACGCAAGCGTTGCTTCACGTCGGTTTTCTGTGAGGCCGTGGTATCACTCCGGTCGAGCCGGCCCATTCGTGCCAAAGCATGGCTCTCCCACAGTTAAATTAAGTGGCTGCTCAGATAATTAGAGTTGTGGATTCGGAGATCGGTGATAATAGATTATAGGGAGGAGGACTTTGTTCAGCTGTGGATAGCGAATATTGCTGAGAACGTACCTGCCAGACGACGTTGGCTCGGCTGGTGGTGTGCAGAGTCTCGACGACGACGCGGTCGCCGGGGCGCGGCGGCGGCGCGGGCGGCGCGCGGCGCACGGTCCGCTTGAGGCGCTTGCCCCGCAGCAGGCGCACGGCCAGCTGCGGCGACCGCTTGCCGCGCCCCGACGCCGCCGACGAGCAACGGGACGACCACGTCGCACCACTGACGTACACAATCTCACTGTACATGGCTCTTTACACTATCAGTATCATGACTTACCACATGCCAGCACGTTCAAGCATTCCCCAATCTCTCAAATTACTGCAATAGGTTTTCAATTTTATGATTTCGTTTATAAAGTCGAAAGCCTGCTGCAGGAATTTGACAGTTCGGTAGCTTGATGTGCTGGTGTGCTGTACCTAACTAATGACAAATTAGAACTTATCAACAGCATGTGTTGTCAATGAATAAGTGAATGACTTTAGGGTTTAATGGCATGATGAGATGATATTCACCTGTCAGTATCACTGCCATCGCTGCTGGTATTCTCCCAGTTGTCGGAGTCATCGTCATTGAGCGCGGTATCAGACTTGCTGTCTCCGTTGAGCAGTGAGGAGTCGTCCCGCGCGGGCTCAGGACTGCGGACGTGCCATCTAGTTAGTCCACAGTGACCTCGTCAGATGAGCACACAACTAAACATATCATGCTGTACATAGATGCCACTATAATGCTACTAAGATACGAAGTTATGTCCAGTAATGTTTGATTTTAATTAATGCAAGTGTTTAATGATGAAATAGTTTAAAAAACTGTGCAGGTAATTAGTAATGACTATTCAGAAAAATATGCAAATACTTATAATATTTAAAACTCTAATTGTGACTTAAAAAACTGGAACATGTACTAATCTCAAGCAATTCAGTGTTTCTGATAAGAATCACGAAGGTGATCAGGCATCATAAAAAATAATTTATTATAAAATGATTTTTAAATGACAATGTAATTTAGAACACTGACATTAGATTTTCAGATGGCTCCCATTTAAATGTGATTGTATCGAAAATCCGAACACAAACATCCTGTACATATACTCTAAATATAAGCTTCTACAATTTTCATCAACCAGTAATCTACAACGTACCTGATCCCAGAATCATTCTTCTCCTCAGTCGCCGTGTCTTCCTGTGAGCTGGCCATGGGGAGACAGACGTCTCCTATAGGCTCGATCTTGATGCTGGGGCAGGTGGCGTCCATCTTCAGAGCATCGTCGAGAGATTCCAGCTTGTCGTCTGCTGGATCCACTTCCATGTCGTTCTGTGGAAGAATGGTTGTTTAGTGTGTTGTTGGAGTTGTGTTTTTCAGAGTTTTTTTTGGTTTTCTGTGCCTTTAGCCAAACTTTACTTTAGCGTTTGTCTACAGAGAGAGTAGAAAACTGAATGTATGGGAATGACAGTGACGAGTGTCAAAATTTACGTCAATTCCATATAATTTGGTTTTCTGTTCTACATGTAGACAAGCGCTAAGTGGCATTTAGCTACAGCTGCAGATTACGCAATCAGTCATACTATGAGCAGGACCTTGCTTAAGGATAAGATAATCTATCAAATGCATTAATTTTACAACTATTACAGTGAATATAAATATTATAGTCATATGAAATTAATTATGTTGCAGTTGGCGTCAGTCATTTGTCGCGCAATGCTGCTCATAACTAAGAGCCTCCGGCGTAGCTTGAAAGTAATCGCATTACCTCGATAGTCGTCTCAATATTTCTTTACTAACTAGTAATCAAGTTTATTATGTGATACTTACATCGTTCGACTTAAGTTTCCGATGTGCCGAGGCTCGTTTCTTAGGCCGGGAGGGCACGTGGTCAGTCGAGTTGGTGTCGGTTTTCGAAGGTTTCTTTATCGGTTTGGTTTGCTTACGGAGATTCCTGTAGTATTTACCTGTAACAATACGAATATAAATTGATCATTTTTATTTTATTAGTTGGCTAGTTACTTTATATCATTGGGGGAAGCCTATGTTCAACAGTGGACTTCTTATGGCTGACTAGCGACCCGCCCCGGCTTCGCACGGGTGCAATATGCATGTATTATATACACATAAACCTTCCGTAAGAATCACTCGATCTATTAAAAAAACCGCATCAAATTTCGTTGCGTAGTTTTAAAGATCTAAGCATACATAGGGACAGACAGACGGCGGATAGCGATGTTTTATACTATGTAGTGATATCATCATGATGAATTGTTTAAGTTACAAAAACTTCAAATTGTTACATAAAAAGGGATGTATTTTGTACAAGGAGATTTCGTTTACAACCAGCAAACATAAAGCAGTGTTTAATTAATTCTTTCATAGTTAGACAATATTAAATCGACAATTGGAATGCATGAATGTGAAAAATCTAAAGTTTTTTTTTTAAGGGGGGAGATCATCTAACTACTTCTCCCGGCCGGGTGAGGCGGGAGGGAGTGTCAGTCTCTCACTGACTAAAAACCACCCCGTTCATACTCCTGCACTTCGAGCCGGAGTCCCCGTAACCCGGTGGGTTCTCCGCGGCTCCGAAAACCTAAAGTGTTAAGGTTATGACTGCCAATAGAAAACTGGTGAAGGCAAATCCATTAACACCGGTACTCTCATGGCGTGTAACGTATTAATACTCGGAAACATAAATATGCTGTGGGAGTAAAGCGTCATCATACAAAAACGAATCGTTTAGGGAACTCCCGGTGAGTCGATATATATGAAGATACTCGTGTCCAAGCTATAAATACATTTTAATTTGATAATCGTGGCGTTAAAATTGGCAATCACAATCCGACCAATAGTGGGTTGTGTAGACAGATGGCAGTCGTTTTCGAAAAGAGTTACCTATGAAGTTTCTTACTTGTTCTTGTCCATAGGAATTTACACCTAGGAATGAGCAAATAGCTTCACTTTTAAATTTTTTGTTGACATTCAAAAGTGCCTTCCTGGTCTAATTGAAATTAATGATTTTGACTTTAAAATTACTTTGTATATGGATATAACTAATTTTATAGAGATTATAGAACGCACTTGTAACGCCTTGGTGTTTCGGGTGTCCATGGGCGGCGCCATGCTTACCATCAGGTGATCCGTATGCTAGTTTACCGGCTTATGCTATAAAAAAAATAAGATACTCACTTTGTTGTTTCCTCCATTGCTTCTTACTTACAAAGGTGTCTTCAGCGCCGATGGTGAGGAAGTTTCTGTCACCGACCTGCAGTGTGCACGGCTCGAATACATTCAGCAGCTTTAGATTCTTTAGATCTTCACCTGGCCGAGCAACCAATGTCTTGTTAATAATTAGCGATTAAAGCGTAAAATGTCACGACCTACTTACTTAAAGAGGGTAAAAATATGTAAAGATTATAAGATGTAATACTATAGGGGTTGATTCAAAGTTAGTTAAGTCATTGAGTTGACTACTGACAGAAAACTGTTGAAGGTAAATCCTCCTAAATTGTACAATCGGTTTTCTCGGATAAATTTAATACGCATAAATACTTTTTTGGATAAATAATACTCGAGTAAAAATGGATAGTTGCAGAAACGATAATTATCAATGAATTTTATAACACGCACGTTGTGACGTCATATTGTTGACTGTTACTAAATAAATTCGTGTAAATACTAGTAAATAATTAAATTAAAATTAAGACTATACTGAGAAAAGCTCTACTAGTTTAGAACCACAGGGGTTCTTCCTCTTTCGCACGCTGCTCGTGATCCCCTCTGTAAACTAATGCCGGAATACTGAAAAGTTACTCAATTTTAAGTCGTACTTAAATATCGTGCCATCTCTGTCATTTCAAAAAGAATTTGTAGAGACAGAACTATACTTAAGCGTGACTTAAAATTGAGTAGCGTTTGAGTATTCCGACATAATAGAGCTTTTCTTAGTATATTGGATGCTGTGTCGGACAATGATGTCGCTAGCGGAGGATTACCCTGTACCAGTTTTTATCGGCAGCTAAAGGCTTAATAATTAATTTATTACAACTTTGTGAAGTGAAGAGTGGTGTGTCGTAGTGGCCCGGAGGTTTAAGACGCTGGCTTCTCATGCATGAGAATGTGGGTTCGAAACCTACCAACGGCAAGTACTTATTTATTTAAGATAAATTAATTGTACCAATGTGACTTTTTCCGAGTTATATGTACTTTCTAAGATTATTTAGACACCACTGACTAACAGTGAAGGAAAACATCGTGACGAAACCTGGGCTTATAATTTCTAATTATAAGTTTGTAATCGCCAACCCGTATTGAGCAAGCGTGGTGATTAATGCTCAAACCTTCTCCGTGTGAGAAGAGGCTTTGCTCAGCAGTGGGCAGTTATAGGCTGTTGATGATGATGATGATGAAGTGAAGAGTGACAATATAATTCATTTATCTCATGAGCTCATGTGCATATGCGCTACGGGTCTAATGCGTTAAGAATTTGACATTGTTCATTTCCCCAGGACTACGAGGTAGTTTGGGCGCGTGCCAGAAAGTTATGATTATTCTATTTCATGTACCACGTGCAGTGCGATGCAGAGTGCATCAGTTATTTTATGTCCTCGATGTTTTTATAATAACTATATGCTATGTTGAAGTATCTATCAAATTTTAATAGAAAATATTTTATAGTAAAAGTAAAAATGTTCACCAAACGGGGTAAGAGGTTTAGTACGTAACATAAAATCAATCTCGATACCTATAAATCTTTCTTTCTAAAATCTTTTATTCCCTAAAGGATTAGATAAAGGTCAGAGGTATATTTGTAACACACACGTTTCTCTAGTTGCGAGTTTGAGATTCAAATTCGTAGTGTGAATTTCAAACAATAAATACGAGATAATAATTTGGCTCACCTGAACCAAACCAGATACCTTTACCTCAACTATCGCATTGGAGACGTCTACCCAGCGAGGCACTTAGTTTTATTTTTTATTAAGATATTTCAGTAGTCGTCACTACTGAAATATGAAATGACAATGACGTCAAAATGGATGGTCGTGTTTGTATTCGGAAGTCTGAAGACTTAGTTCCGAGTTTGTTTTGGGTTTAAAGTAATCGAAACGAGTACACGTTCGGCGCTCTGATTGGCCGGCTTCAATGAACTAGCCAATCAGAGCGCCGAACACGGTCTCCTTTCGACACGTAAAACATACTCGTACTAAGGCCAAGATCTCAGTAGTAGCGAACTTTTAAATATATCTATGTCTAGCAGTAGACTGAAACAGTCTAATGATGATGATAATGTTTACCTTCGACTAGGAACTTGGGTTGCTGCGGCGTGGTGGGGTCGGTAGGGTTGGTGCACAGCGCGCGACACTGCCAGTGCACGCTCACGCTCTCCGTCATTACCGCCTCCACGGTGAACTGGGGACAAACAAGTAGCTGGTTGTAGCTTCGACAGAATTCTCTGGCATAAGTTTTAATTTACAGTAAATTAAGATACGAACTCTTACACAATTATTACCAATTCACATAATGTTAAAGAGGTAGGTAGTTAAAGCTCAATTTAAAACACCTAAACAATTTATTGAATTTTCATCTTTATTAGGTTGTAGGTCGATCATTGAATTGACCTCATTACGTATGCATTCGGCCTCATCGATTTCTGCCCAGTAAAAACATGAGGCAGATCGGGTACAACCAATTTCCATTGTTCGTACCTTTCAGTCCTGGTATTTTTACTATAATTAGCGTACGATATGTATTTATGTAAGTATCTGTATTTTTCATAATCTTTGTGTGCCATTTGCCAAATAAATGCTTTTTCTTTCTTTCACATACATAATGTTGTATTATACATGCATAGTATCCTAATATATGTAGTTCTTACCTTATGATCATGCATCTTATGTTTCCTGGCAGCTTTCATTTCCTTAGTGATGTGGAGCCAGTTGGCGGAGTCGAGCGAACCTAGCGGGCCGTACACCACCTGTCCAGGGTAGAACTCGGACGAGGAGTAGGGAGTGGAGCGGCGGCGGCGCATCGAGTAGTCCTCCAGCGGACACGTATCCAGGTCGGGGTACTCTAGCCTGGAGCCCTCCGCTGACACGAGCCGGAGTTTGCTATGGACCGCCTGTGAACAGAAAGTCTTCATTCAATAACAATAAACCCTTATTATACCTTTTGGTTTTAGGTTGCTCCGGTCGAGTAGCGTCATGATAGTTGTCTAGTGGCTAACCCAAAAAAGTCTAGGTTTTATTTTCCAATTTTAACTCTTGATTCGTCTTTATTTATCTATTTTGGAATTAATCCATGTATGTCAAAAACAGTCAATCATGTGAATTTATTAATTTGGCTACTATTCTATGTGAATTCAGTTATTATTGTGCCTTTGCCAGAACTAATAAATTGACAAAAATATGTGGTTTTCTAGTAATACTAACTCACTAGTATTATTGGAGCCATAACAAGGAACTTACAATTCATAATAATATACATGTATGTATGTAGGACAATGTTGAACAAAACACCTATTGCATTTACAATGTTTGTAATGACAACCCAACATTATGTTTATGAATGATGGATTCCTAACTTAACAAATAGACTATCCTAGAACACAATTGAACATATCTATAAAGAATAAGTAGAATATAATGCATAAATAGACAATTAACTCACCTTTGAAGTTCCAACCCATGAATCAAGACAGACAGCTAAATCAGGAGTAAACTCCTCCAATGGCTGTAGTCTCTCGCTGGCGACGCTGGGTATCACATGCTTGGTGCCCACTATCTGCAGGGCTGCGTTCATGATGATGTCTCTGCAGTAGCCTCTCTGTGTGTCCTTGCCAGCAATGAGACGACGCACCACGTCGCCGGGCATTAGGGAGCGGTCTGCTAGGCCAACCTGTTATTATACCAAACAAAATTAGGTACTTATTATTTGATATAAAACATACCGCCTTTTACCCCAGATGGGGTAGGCAGAGGTGTACAGTATGCCACTGTACACCCACTTTGTTATGAGTCCCATGTAATGTGAGCCTATTGCCATATACCGGGCATAATTCCAGACTCCATGCTAATACTGAGAATTTTTCGAACCCGAGACCCCTTGCCCGGCAGTCGCACCTACAACCACTCGGCCAACGAGGCAGTTATTATTTGATTCATAGATAGAACTAGTAGTGAGTATGGTATGTGGGTCATATTTCATATTTAAGCGGTAAAACAATTTAATATAGTCAGTCTGTCTTTAAAAGTGATCGGATATGGCCTAGAAACATAATATTTTGAATTTTAATGAAACATACATTCATACACAATTTATGCTGTTATCAATTTAGCTGTGACTACCAAGGACAGAAACTACAAAGCCTATTATGATACTTAGTTCATAAAAAAACATAGGCATTTACAAAACATTTAGTTTTATTAATGCTGGCGCATTGATAAAAATCCAGCTAGATACATTGAATAGTTTATTATGTACTGGATTGTGGGCCATGAGGCTTGTAATTTTTTACCACCAACTCGGACCCTCCAAAACATTTTAAACCTTTTCATGATGGAATTTAACACCATTTTCCTAATAAATAAAGGAAAAGCTAACTTATAACAAGGTTTTAAGTTCATAAATGCATTACTCCATGGATACATATATGGAGTATACATAAACAAATTATTGGGCCTTAATTGGTATAAAATACACTCCAAACAGAACTGTATTCCAAACATTATAAAGACCACACCCCTTGAACTAAATAAATAAAGAATATTCAGTATTAAAACTATGAACATTGGGTTAAATGGTATCAAGCTCGTAATACTAACTCTTTTGTGGCCTGTAATACAAGCAACAAATGATTAGCATGCATTTACTGTAATACCTTTTTGTCTTAGTAGCACAAACAAACAGATTTTATGAAGCTGGTATCTTTTTAAATTTCTTGCTAAGTTTACAAATCTACTGGTCCCACTGGACTGTTTTTTCTTATAGGTAAATTAATTTTATCTAACAAAAGCCTGTTAGAACTAATTCTTATAGTATGGTACATTGTATTATTGCTCATTGGAACTAGTTTATCAATATTTCATTTTAAAATAACAACTGCACGTACATGTGCACCATTTTATTATTAGATAGCAATATAATAGTCTCAAGTTTACAATCAATATCTTAATATGATGGAAATAAGCCATTATTGGACTCTATAGGTTCAATAACATCAGTATTTAAGTATTCCATGAATTATTTCAGTAGCTCAATTAGGGTGGGTTGCATGTTGTCTAAATAATTTATGTGTTGAGGGTAGACTTGTTTCAAATTGAGCTTAGACCTTGAAGTACCCCTCTAGAACGTGTTCAAGGGCATTTCATGCGTTATTCAATTCAAATTAACACTAGGTCCAGATTCAGGGGTTGTTGTACTCCCAAGTACAAGTCTATAGATTCTCAATTACTAGTACGGTGCGCAAGTGCCAAACACCGTAACAGATTAACTAATATAATTTGCAGTTATCCTTGCTTACCGACTTCTCGGATATGACTCGCTCGGTGCCGGAAGGATGCCAGACAACGCGAATTTCGCCTTTTTGTATAGGAGTTTCAATGTCGCTCTCTTGATCGCTGGAGTTGGCTTCATAGTTCTCGAGTACCAGACCGAAGACCACTTGACCGCGATTGTTGATTTTATACACTTCATCCTCGTAAAAATATTGAAAGTCAGTCGGCGAACCTGGATTTTGCCCCGCCATATTGACGGGAATTATCTAAAGACACAAATAATTTTGTTTTTTACGTGATTATGTTCTTTCTGACAGCTGATTGCAATGTGTGGCGCATGCGTCAATAAATTATGCAAGGAAAACGCCATCTTGCGGGTTCAGGAGAAACTTCAGATGCGTTCCGTTTTACAGTGTTGTTGTTTTAAATGTTATCTTATTTTGTTTATACTTTTATCGTGTTAAGATTAGAATATCAACTCGCGAAAATCAAACGGTTTGTTATCGCTGCAGTTAAATTTTAGGCAGCAACTACTTGTTCTTGATATGTTGATAAGATAAAGAATTTCAGTTTTCTACAAAACGAAAAAAGCAAAGGTACAGTCAGCCTATTTTGGTTTATCTTCAGCAATTGCTACTCCTAGCTAAACCGATAAACCAGTTTATGATAATACTCCACGTGGGTGGTTTTGGGCGAATCTCTGAAAAAGTAACAAACAAAAGTATACACTTTAATACAATTTATGTAGTTCAACTTACTGACTAGTGACTATGTATGTTTACAAATAGGGCACTCTTCTCAGATCATCTTTGACTAAAGGCCTACCTATATTAAACCAAAAACCTGTTCGATGTAAGCTTAAAAATTAAAATAGAAATGTGGCTCAAGGGCGGTATGGTACCCACTCAAAAAGCAGCACAGCTTTTTTTGAAAGCGGGAATCTGTGGTTTAAACGTTAACAGTCAAAGAGGAAAGAGGGCATAGGCACAATCGCATTGTGACACCTGCCCTACCTCAACCACTATCTCAGTACCCCAAACTAGACCTTCGATAGTCAAATCCAAGAGAGGTAACACTTCAACACAATAAGAACTTATTATCAATAGTCTGATGTAAAATCAATATTGTGCTTAGGGAATCTCAACTCTAAAGCTTTCAAGATTCAAAATAACTTATTTAAGGTAGATAGGTTTAACTTCGATGCTAGATAGGTGCCAACTTTAAGTCCTATACACAGGTACAACCACAGATATAGTAAAGAAAGGTACAGTACAACTAATTGATCGTTGATATTGTGAACTACTCATTAAAGATTTATACGATGTAAATATAGGAAGGTATCTTAATAAGTACCTTAAACATCAGTTAGTGAAAATAATTTTAAATTGTTTCTCAAGTGAAAGAATATTTATACATATTTCTTTATAGAGAAAAATAAAAATTTTTGGACATGCAAAGTACATTATTGGCATTCTTATTGTACCTATCTCATTGAATTTAGATTTTTAGCAATCGATCTTTAGCGCAGAATAAAAATGTAGTATTTAATGACACAATTATAATATTAAAAGTTTACAAATTAGGGATTCATTTTCATTATGACCTAATGCCCCACCTATTACTTTAAGCCCGCGTTCTAAATAAATACCTACCTAATAAGTACTTACTTAGACGCAATTTACCCCACATGCTATCACAAGTACTTATGTCTGGCGTACGTGTTATGTAATGTGTGGTCGAACTTTAAAGTCGGCTAGGTCATACCTCGGACACTGACAGAGCCCCATTATTACATTTCAAATAGGGGTTCCTAAGTAAATATGAAGGTAGAATGCGTATATTTTACCCAGTGCGCGTTCTCAATAACGTACCTTATTACGCATCATTTTATATTATAACTATTACCTACTTAGTTCGATCGATTTTCAGCGAAGCGAACATCGAGCACGTGTTACCCGCTTTAGTAGCAAAGTGACACAGCGTCACCGCGGACTCCGCCATGGAACACAGCTGTGACGTTAGTCCGAGTGGCGGTTCAGGCGGTTCTATTCTCGCTGCCCGATCAATACGGCGTTATCAACATAACTGTGTAGGTGTTTACATGCGCGTAGTACCCACACAGCCTCGCTTGAATGAGGTTGTCGCGAGTGATAACGCGGCGCAGTAAATAAATCATGTATTAATATTTTAAGGAAATGTGAACATATCTCGCAGCGAAATGCCGCTGCCAGAACTTTTGAAACGAGCCTCGAGCTATTTCCTCGGTTTGGAGTTCGATGATAACGAGGAACCCCCTGATTACGTCGACAACGAAATATTGTTTTGCAAGAATAATGTGTGCGTGCATCCGCCGACTGTAGCCAGGCATGAGCTGGACATCGTGCACCATCCAGGGTACCTCACAGTCACTACCAAAGTGTTTACTGATCAACACAATAATGCCAAACGACCTACGCTTTTCCTCAACTGGATTCCGAATTCTACATTGCGGAAATGTCCTTCGGCTGTAGAAACCAGTCCGAACGATGAGTTGGTGTGTTCAGGTAAACCGGCGAATCCGAAGGAAATACCTAAATCACGCAGCAACAGAAACAGCATAAAATTGGATGCTAATAACGAACATGCATTTTCTGACTCCTCAGAGACTACAAGTTTAAATTCAAACTCTGATAAACAAAGTATAAAGTCGTCTGATACGAGGTACACCCCAATGATACGACTCAGGAGGAATTATCTTCTAGTTCTAAGCCTACAGTAAAGTCTATAGATTCAGTAAAGGATAATGTTTTCAGTAGCTTTGAGAAGGACGAGTCCAGGGATGAGGTGTTTGTTTACGACAAACACGTGAGATCACAGTCAATGACGTCTGTGAACATCACAATAGCTAATCCAACAATAGAGAACGTAGATTTGACCCCTGACTCCGTGTCAGGAGACAGGTTTATTAGGTCACTGTCGATGAGTTCGTGTGACGAGGGTAACCCTAATTGGATGAGTACTCCGGAGTTTTTAGCTCTCAAACATAACTTGGTGTTTCCTGACAGTGTCCATAGTTCACCAGTGCCGCAAAGACGAGCTCCTTTGAAATGTCGAAGGTGAGTGCTGTATAAATATTTATTAACAATCTTGCCACATAGCTATAATATTGCGTTGTAGTGTAATATATCTACGTATTGCCATTACACTTAGAATTACTGTGGTCCCACTTACAATTTATCCTCAAACAGGATTTGGGTCATCCAATGTTTGTAGTTTCCACAGGGCCGCCAACTTGCTGTTATTATTCTGTCCTTCAATGCAGTGTTTTGCTGTATACCTGCATACAATTGTGTCATAATCATAATTAATAGTTAATACCGACAAATCTCAGTTTTTTACAAGTACGTAGGTATTTGCATATTTTGCGTTAAATGTAACATTTGTTGTTTATTTGTTTACGAGAAATTCGTTTTGTTATTTTTAGGTCCGAAACTCCATTATACGTTTCGCATTATCATAAAACATGTAAATTGCTTTGAATATGGTGACATGGCATACAAATTACAAAGCACATTAGGTATGGTAGCTGAGCTAAAACTCACTACTACACAATTATTTATTTATTTAATTAGGTACCTAAGTACTTGGATAACAGAACCTTATTGTTTCTACACTGGCAGTTTTACATCCCTGCCGGATCTCCTGGCTGGGCCCTAACAATTTATTATTAGGTACTTAGGTAGGTTAACAATACATTATTATTTCTAGCCATTCACGTTTAACGATAAACGTAGAGAGTGTTTTTCTAAAACTAGTAACTACACCTACCTTGAAAGGTATAGTTATTAGGAGTGCCATGTGAAAAGCAGAAAATTTTGTTCTCATTATTTACGGATAAGAAAACTAATACACGTACCAAGGGGATTATCCCTTTCGTACCCAGCGAACCGTGACGGGTGAACACGAGTGTTCTAGATTAGCAATTATGAACCATATTTCTAGTTTATAAATAGATATTATGTATAATAAAAGAATAGGTTTCAGTCTTAGGAGTACATGACATTATTTTTTGTAGAGGACCTAGGATACGCCCCTGAGGTAAACCTTTACAATTAATGTTTTTTGCACAAGATAAATATGTGTAAATCTAATTTGAAAATTTCATAATAAACTTTGACTAAGTAATAACCCTTGACTGAACTGGGAGTTTTATATAAATAACATTTCACTTGTAACTAAGAGGTTAAATAAATCCGAAGCACGCAAAGGCTCTCGAGGGACAGCCGGCGACGGGTCGAGGACGCCCACTCTTCTGTCAATAGCTGTTGCTTGTCTGCTCGTGAAAATACCATTAAATCTTTTTCTTTTTATCCATCTACGTCGAAATAAGGCAAAAGATGTTGTTCATCCTAAGCAATAAACGTTAACGAAAAGTAATAAAAAGGAAATAGATACTTCTCGAATCTTTTGTATTACTGTTAATTTCTGGTTGTTATCGTTACGCAGCTTCATTAAACAAATGTTAATAATTGATCATTATCATTTACAATTACAATGCAGCTAAGTCGATTCGTTATAAACAAAGAATCTACTTACAATTTGATGCCTGTCGTTCATTATGTTTGCTGACTCCGAGATTATATTTCGAACAGTCAGCATTAATAATAATACAGTAACAGATACCACTGGGTAATTTATTATCATTCTTGATCAGCAGTATAGCATGGGGAATAATAAACAAAAAGCAAGTTACTTAGGTTACCTACTGAATTTTAATCTTTTCAGAACTTAAAAATCAACAAAATGAGTCGATTAAAAATGATTTGTCCTTTGTAAAGGTCGGTGTACCGACAATAAAATAAATATGTCGTACAATATATATTTTTTTTAATTTCTTTATTTGTCTCAGGCATCTTGGACCATAGTAAGTAAAATATACAATAATTCAATACAAATACCTACTATACATACATATACGTGCATCTACGTAATATACCTCTCGCGTGTTTCTCGTACACACGGGTGTACGAGAGAGTTGAGTGCCCATCGCGCAATTGTACACACGGGTGTACGAGAAACGCGCACCGATTGGATATTTTTTCTGTGACGTATATTTTCAAGTTTGCAACCCGTTCTTTATTTGATGGAACAGAATAGTTAATTCGCTTTTCTATTAAAATATTTACCCGTGTGTACGAGAGGCGCGCGAGAGGTTAATTCTAATAAACCTACATAAAATTATAATAGCTGTCGTTAAATTTAATTCACGCTATACAAATAGGTATACTAAAAACCTCCATAGCACTTATCGACCCTTTAGTCGTCTCCAAGGTCACATCTCTCTCCCGATTGCATTCCAAGACCACATGCCGCGCCGAGAATGTCATTATTGCTCGCACAACTCATTTACACCCTCAAAACTCGATGCGTCTTGAATGCTAAGCTGTAATAGAACTATGGAACGATTCTAGTGCCGCATTGGAAGGTTCTAGAAACTGCAAAGGTTATTTGAGACGTGAGCTCTTGCTAGATAGTGTTGTTTGCATTTCTAATATTGAATAACTTGAATTGTGTCCGTTAATATAAGTTCGTAGGTTACTTACTCAAAAAGCTGAGCTAATGATTAGTTTTGGTTTTTAGGTTTCAACTGCCTCGTTGGCCGAGTGATCGCAATTGCCACTGTCCGATCCGATACTTTGTCCGACCCGAGAATCGATTCTCGGGTCGGACAAAGTATTGTTGGGCTTTTTCAAATATCTCAGTAGTAGCAACGGTATATGGCAATAGGCTCACCCCCTATTAAATGGGACTCATAACAGTGGGTGTTACGTTGTACCGTGGCATTAAGTGCCGTAATGTACACCTCTGCCTACCCCTTTGGGGATAAAAGGCGTGATGTTATGTATGTTTTAGGTATACTTAGCCCCCGGAGCTGTGCACGACCTCACGGGTTACCGAGGCTCCGGCTCGAGGTAGGAGTAGAAACGTGGAATTTAGTCAATAAGAGTCTGACATTCAAAGCGGGAGAAGTAATTGGATGATATTCTCCTCTAACAAAAAAAGTTAATTAAGCTGGTGGTGTTTTGATTTTAAAAGAATGATAATAGGATAAAGACTTACTTAGCAATAAACGCAGCGTATAAAGCGCTTTGTTTGAAATCATGGAACCGATGATAACATTGCAATATCATTGGAGCATTAGAAACTTATTTATCACATCCTTGATAAATAACTAGACTATAAATAAATAAACCCTATGGTACACATTTTGAGGACCTGAAGCCTTAGTACTAGTTTGTTTTACGTAACTGTCAAACACTGCGAGGACACCGGTGACCGCAACCTATTGTTCTTTAATTGTGTCTATAATGACGGTCCTCAAAGGGTTAACCCTTTAGTAGTTTAAAGTAATCGAAATGAGACTGCGTTCGACGCTCTGGTTGGTTGGCTCCTATGAACCAACGGCCTCTGATTAGCCAGTCGCAGGAAACAAATAATCAGAGCGCCCTCTGCTATAAGTATCGTAACTATTAGGTTCTTGTTAAACCTATTATAACAACAACAAAAAGAAAGAACACAGCTTACGTCCATAATTACCTATAAGTATAACGTTGTCGTCAGCGGATGAAAGGACATTAATACCCTTTTAATAGCGTCCTATAAGGGGATAAGTGAATATGTTACGGCTCAGTAAGTTAATTAATCTATCGTATAAGGAGCTGACACACTTTATAAGTATGGACGTTTATAAATAGGTACACATAATGTACAGTGGCCAGCAGGTGAAACTACTCCAAATTTCTTGTATGTCATAGGATTTTCAATTTTGTTGTTTGAATATAACGTCAAAATTACAATGGAAAAACATTGACAGATTGGGATTTTTTTTTAAGGGGGGAAAATCATCGAATGACTGCTCCCGCCTGGGTGAGGCGGGAGGGAGTGTCAGACTCTTACTGACTAAAAACCACCCCGTTCCTTCTCCTGCACGTCGAGCCGGAGCCCCGGTTACCCGTTAGGTTCTCCGCGACTGACAGATTGGGATAGGGTCGGTTAACCTGCTGACCTATACTGGCCACTACTAGTAGACAAAGTTCGTCGTCTAGTTTATACGTTGACCTAGTTAGAAAGTCAATAATTATTTATTTACCGGTATTTGATAACGATATCATGGGCTGATGGACGGATGTCAATATAAATATTTGTGTTCAAAGAACAAGAGTCTTTCATTGCTCATTCCAGAAAGTTCAGACCAGATAATTTGTTGAAAGATAAATAATATAAGGCCATGAGGGTTATTTATACTAATTTTGAAAAGGCTTACAATGCACTTATTTTATTTCATTACCACTTATTTTTCATCATATGTGAATAAAGAAGAAAAGTACCTAATAATAATATGTTAGGAGAAATAATATGTTATCCAGTTATCCTAGTAGTAAGCATTATTGTAATTAGTTTTATTAAATGTAAGATTTTAACTTTATTATATTGTAAAATTTAACTTTGCATACCGTAAAAAGTAGGCTATGTATGTGGGACTATTTTTTTATAATTATTATTACCTGTAATTACCATACGTCGTGCAAATAAACGTTCTTATTCTTATTCTTATTAGTATATCTTGCTATCCGATAAAAAATAAGACAGTGAATGCTTGAACCATTCAAAGATTTTGGGTTGAATAGTAGCACTTATACCTACTTGAGAATTACTAAAAAAAATCTTCCTTTAAAGAAATTAGATTACGAAATTGTTCCGAATTATTCAAAAGACCTATAACACTAAAGCTAACAGATACGAAGTCAGACAGATCAAGTACCCAACCTTTTGCTGTGACGACACCGGCACCGTTAGAGGTTTAAGTTTACAAGAGTTCGAGAAGTCCGTCGTCAACAGCAGGCAGAGGAATTTTACCCCTTTGTAACCCGTGTCCCAAAAAGACACATGTACATAATTCAAGCATATAAATCTCTATTCCCTTGAGCCGTGTCTGAGGCATAACTTTAAGTTGAAGTTATTGCGAACGTAAAACACATTAATCTTAGTTCCCCTGTACTAAATATCGTGGTATCGATTGCTAGACGAGCTCTATTCCACGCGAGATAATTTGCATCATGTTTGCATTATGTACGCTTTTTGCTTGAGTTTTTCCGATATCGATAGATTAACGGTAGGCGGTGAATGCATTAGTGTGACTAAATCACGCATCTAGATCAGACTAATACGCCTGTTGTAAAGTTTTTACGAGTTGTATTTGCTTGTAAATACTTGTTTTATGGAAATAGCTGCGGGTGTCTCGGATACTAAACTTTATGATTATGACAGTAGGTAACTTGTAGAAGCGAACTCTTGGGTGATTTAAGTCTTAAGTTTTTAATGGTGTTCATTATAGGGACTTGTCATTATTGGTTATACATTCTTTGTATGGTTGACGTCTAGTACCTAGTTACCTAATGTGAATAATCTCCTTTCTTAGATTCTCGGTGGACCTGAGCCAGATGCGGTCACTTCGTCTATTCTTTAACGACGACAACTGCACGTGTGGACAGCTGGTGGTAGCTTCCAGGGAATCTCAGTACAAAATTTACATTTCCACCATGGAGGTTGGATCATTTGGCGCAAGTCCTCCATCGATGGCACTCGTTACTTCACAATATCAAACTCACTCCAGGTAATAATGAAAATATTTGACTTATATTTTGGGATTTAAACTTTAAATGTTTCTTCTAACCTAAGTAGGCACTGTTTCCACAGGTTCTGAAGAGCCAAACTTACCGTATCGTCATTTTATGGTATGCCGTCCAGAAGTGCAGAAGTCCGAACAGCATCCCGAGGAAGGCAAACTTCCCAAAATATCCCCCGAACTGTTTTACGGAAAGATAATGAACGCAAAGGGTGTGATCGAAGACGATCTCTTTTTGAGGAAATGCGTCTTCTTCGGAGGACTGGACAAGGAACTTAGGAGGGAAGTGTGGCCATTCTATTACATTGTTACCCTTACAACTCAACGTATGACGAAAGGGAGATAATACTACAGATCAGGTCGAGAGAATACGACGAAATTACGACCAGGAGACTGGAAAAGATGACTCCTGAGCAGCATGCAATCTTTTGGAAGACAGTACAATGTGTGATAGAGAAAGATGTGGTCAGAACAGATAGAGGAAATCCATTTTTTGCGGGAGAAAATAATTATAACGTGGAAATAATGAAGAACATATTGTTGAACTATGCAGTGTATAATCCAGTTTTAGGGTAAGGACAATGAAATATTTGTACTTATTGTTGAGTTCTAGTTAATGACGGCTTTGTGTACTGTACCACATCGTTCATTGTTCCACACGCTAATTACACCCAACTGTACAATTTAATAAATGGGTATTTACTGCGAATATGCACGTCATCGGCCCTGCGTATTGGAGCCGTTTGGTATTCAAGGCTCGTGTCTGTCTTGTTCGGAAAGGTCGTCTTGTAGGGCGATTAACGATCGCAAAGAATTTTAAAAAGGATTTTTTCACTTGACGTCCGATACTTTTTCATTACAGAGCTGTCTAGCTGGATTTATGTAAATTATACCATTGGTTAAATTGAATGTTTGTTTTTCAATCTGTTAATCTGGATTTCTAGAACTATAAGTAATCTCCTGATGGTTGAAACCAAATGAGATGATAGTGACGTTGTGTAGTTACTGATGAAACATTTTTGCCCTAAAAACATATTTTAAATAGTTATATTCTTTTCTAGGTACACCCAAGGAATGAGTGACTTGTTAGCTCCAGTATTGTGTGAGATTAAATGCGAGGCTGAAGCGTTCTGGTGTTTCGTGGGACTGATGCAACGAGCCATATTTGTGTGCACACCGACCGACAATGACATGGATAACAATCTTGTAAGATACAACAACTGTTTAATGTCCAATAATGTAGGTACACATTCATTTACAAAGATACAGCTTCATCGGTGTCGGCTTTTCTATCTATTTAACATAACCTTTCCATAATAGATTTAAGATTTAAGTTTTATATTATAAGGTTGGAGTAAAATAAACGGCCGTATTGTATGATACACATCTGGCCACAAAAAGGGCACTCTCTGTACCGACTACTTGAAATTTTGGATTACCTACTTATGTCTTAAAATATTGTGCAAATGTTTGTGGGTTCTTGTTTTTAGAGATGAGATGAATGTTATATTTGGTTAGTTATCTATTGTTGCTTGCCTTTTTGCAATATCCGTACAAAGGCAAAGCAAGAACCCAATCTCATCGATTTCGTGAACACTCATTGTCAAGTACCTAACAATCAACAATTCCAATCATTGTTTTAGTACAATTCCAAGATTCATTTCTTATAGACAAATCGCAGACGGATTGACACAATCAGATACCACACAAATAAATATATTATAAGAGACTAAAATGGTTAGGTAGACTATTTGAGTGTCTCGTCGATTTTATTATTTAAGCTATTTTAATACAAGGGGCGGAATCAATAGAGCTTTGATAGCTTTTCGGTTGCTAACTTAACATTGGTGAATAGGCTTACCAAGCTAATAAAACAGCAGATAAATTTAAAATTCGAACGTTTTCGAGCGCTTCTCCGTTCACTCAGCGCTTAATTCGCTTCATTCCGTAGACTACGCGTATTTTCATTAATCTATGATCTTGCATCCATGCTTTTGTAATATGGGGTTACTGACGTATGTAGTGTGACGTCGTGGTACATAAATCAATATACGCTACCCGTTTTATCAAATAGTTATCAACATTGTTGAGGTCATGGATTGATTGAAAGCGTAATACTGTATTCAATGAGGGTTTTATCTCGTTTATGGGAACTATTGAATGATGAACATCCTTTGTTCTCATATAAATGTATATCAGTACATGTGTTAGTATTATTAATGTATCTAAAATAAATACCTGTGTAAACTACTTAGGTATAGTGAGTCACAGATAATCGTATTTATCATTATCGATGTAGTCAGCTTGATTACAGCGTTGTTACCTAATATTTTATTTTATTACATCACTGAAATAAAAAACTCCTACGTCTGACCTTTTTAATTTCCAGAGTTACCTGCGTGAATTAATAAGGATTATGTTGCCACACTTCTACAAGCATTTGGAGAAACACGTTGACGCAATGGAATTACTGTTTTGTCACCGTTGGATATTATTGTAAGTATTTATTTATGACTAGCTGATACGGTAAACTTTGTACAGCGCCATTTTTTTTTCAACGTCTATACCTGTTCATCAGTTCCACGACCATTTCAAGACCAAAATGAGCCAATTCGGTTAAGCCGTTCTTGAGTTTTAGCGAGACTAACGAACGGCAATTCATTTTTATTTATATAGAAGATACAGATGATAGAAGCTTAATAATATCACTTAACAACCGTGAGCATTACGAGTTTCATTCAATTTGTCGTTAAAAAGTTAGGAAGAGAATATAATTGTATTATTTGATATTGGAAAATTCTGACACTGGAATCGCATCCAAGATCCATTGCCGAACGCTACCTGCCCAATTTGTTAATTGTTTTTCAATAACTTATGCAAAATAACCAAAGGAACATTTCTGTATTTGAAGTGTTTGAAACGACTTAACTATTATTTATAGTGACAGGGGTACGCGGCTTGTTGAGTCAAATGACGTCACAAAGCCTTTTCCCTTATTATTCACCTCACACCAACCGCTACTCAAATACGTAGGTATCTCGTTTAGTAACATGAAGGAAAATATCAAAGCGAGGGGTAATGTAATTATACAAACATAGATAGAAAACACAGGAGGACCCTTTGACATATGAGCGTGTCTTTTATCTAGTTAAGGATATTAAATTATTTAGCCTTTTCAAGAACTGTTTGCCTGACCTTTAAAGTAAAATATGTGGGCAGATGTTAGTGTTTAGGTGGCTTTTTTTTTAAAGTGGGGAAAATCATCGAATGACTGCTGCCGCCTGGGTGAGGCGGGAGGGAGTGTTAGACTCTTACTGACTAAAAACCACCCCGTTCCTTCTCCTGCACGTCGAGCCGGAGCCCCGGTTACCCGTTAGGTTCTTCGCGACTGTGTTTAGGTGGCTTAAATGGATATGTGATACATCGTTGGTCTTATCAACACTTACCACTAGGCGAGTCAGCGGCCAAACAACGACCGATAAAAAAAGGTTAATAAAATCCCAATCACAATTTCAAAAGAAAATCAGTTATAAGAAAAGCAGTTAAAAGGTTTAATATCATAATTGCTTGCTAGGTATGTTATTGAAAGCAAGAATGTGAAATGTAAGTAGGCAATCAAGCAATACAGCCTGAACAATTGTTGCGCAAATCGAATTGATTCAATTCGCGGAAAGTCTCCATTTGATTACCTAGGTATAAGAGAATGAGATTCCACGAACGGTCTGTGGAAAGAAAATTCTGAAAATATCACAGAACTTTAAGAAAATCCTATATCTAGATACAAATAGACATCATTTAATTTCTTTTTCTTTAATGGTAGAGATTCCTAATTTTTATTTTAATGTCCGTCTGGTAGATTATTTTAAATCATTAGACACGTATTTTTTATTTTCTTACAGAAACGAATACTTTGAAATGTAGCGTGACGTCACTCCTATGCACATTTTATACGTAGAAATGACGTTTTAGCCCCCACTCCTAAACTTTGATTCGTTTTATCCAAGTATTGTTTTCTTATACGACAAAATAAAAAAATACGTGTCTAATATTTTTTCATTACCTAACTACGGACTAATTATATGTTTAATTTTCATAACCTGTCATCATCCCAATTGAATTTTAATCCTATAATACCGATTTAATAAAGTCGAATATCTGTTGGAAGAGTCTACAACACAAGTTAATTTAACCTGCTTGGGTTTGTTAAGTAATTGTGCTCATTTTCTTCTACTATAGATGTTTCAAACGGAGTTCACCGAAGCAGTAGCGCTGCGCATGTGGGAAGCATGCTGGGCCAATTATCAGACGGACTACTTCATCTCTTCCTATGCCTGGCCATCATTGCAGTGTACGCTGATGACGTCATCGCACAGGATCTCAACACTGATGAGATGCTGCTGCATTTTAGTTCATTAGGTACGTTGGTTCAACCTATAAGTACAATATTTTTTAAGCTATCGATCACCAAACGATTACTAAAGTATAATGGTCACCCACAACAGAGAGATTAGAATACGTTATCCATTATAGAGGAATTTAGTTACATCTTTTTTGAAAATTTCCTTCTTTTCTTTAGTTTTTTTTATGGGAGCAGACGGATCACCTGATGTTAAGCAATCGACGTCGCCCACGGACACCTGGAACACCAGAGGCATTACAAATGCGTTACCGGTCTTATGGGGATTGGGAGTTTGAGGATTATTGGGATTCAGGGATTGAGGAGATTGGAGAAGGCGCGAAGGTAATTGGAGTTTGAGGATCTTTGGGGATTCACGAATTGGGGAGATTGGGAAAGAGGAGGGTAATTGGGCCTCCGGTAACCTCACTCACACGACGAAACACAACGCAAGCGTTGCTTCACGATGGTTTTCTGTGAGGCCGTGGTATCACTCCGGTCGCGGCTCGACCATTCATACCGAAGCATGGCTCTGCCACACTTTTATTTTAAGTCGTCTTTGAATTCTAAATATTTAAATAACAAATCGTTGTCCAAGTATATTAAAAGCAACCATGATTCATGTCTGTTTTAAACAACCATATTCATGTTTAACATTTATAACTAGGCCAACATATTGTTTTATTTTAAACACATGATACATATGTACATTTTTTACATCGCAGCCTTTAATATAAGTTTTTGTTTCCCTTTACAAATGATAATGTTTTCATACAGAGTCTTGAGTGTGCTGTATGACTGATTAAAAAAATTAATACTTATTTTTCTAATTTCCAGCAATGTACATGGATGGCCGACTCATCCTGCGCAAGGCTAGAGGTCTGTTGTATCAGTTCCGTCAGCTAGTCAGGATCCCTTGCACCTTAGTGGGCATGTGTCAGCGATGTGGACCAGGGATATGGGACTCCACTCACCGACCTAGTGTCGAATGTACCGGAGCCCATGACTTCTGCAAGTATGCTGTGCAGTAGACGAAGATTGAAGGTATTGAATACGGTTTTCGGAGTACACAGCTGGATGTGTTTAGTTTAAATTGTTTTGTTTTGTTCAAAAGCCGCTATGTAGAAAATAGACTCTACGTTCTTCGATGCAGCCATGTTAGAAGTGCAATATCGTGAGGCAGTTTTATTAAATCAGTATTAATAACTTTGTTTAGACACTAGTGCCGTGCGTTATCAGCTTTTAATTAGAATTAAATTGCATTTTGCCATGTTTCATTTAATGCTAAAGTTTATGTACAAAAATGTATTAAAACGTAAGTTTTGTGAAGAGAAAGGCGTAAATGGAGTCTCAAATTAATGTTAAAATATAACAGTTTAGTTATTTGTATGCTTTTAGAAAGGATGTAAGTAAAATGTCATGATTGTTTCGGTAAAGTGAATAGCAGAATTGTGTAGTAATGAAATGGTCACGTTTTTACAAATAAACGTTATGTTTTCTGAGAAAAGTTTTCAGTACGTAACGCGAAGTGAAAATGTGACCCACTTTTCGTGTCCGCCATTGTACAAAACATACTAATTAGTTTGTATAAGAATTTCGACTTTATGTCAATCAATAATTACTGTCAGTTTCAATGTTTTACTATAATGGGGTACATTGTTATTTAGTGGTTTGTTTTAAAATGGAAAGTGCTACAGTAAAACGGTTTTAAAGGAGTTCAATTGTGGTTATTTAGACCGATATAAATAAACGATTGTTTTGAAAATGTTCTACCAATAAACCGTATCGAGTGTTGCGAGTAAAATGATTTTTAATTGGAGTATAAATAATGAATTTAAACGAAAACGGTATACGTATAACTGTGTATTCCATCGCACATCGTACAAAACAAATTTATTAGTACAAAATTATTTCCAGTAGCTACGAAAGGGATGTTAAAGGAGGTTTTTTAAAATGTAAAATGTATAACAGTTTTCGATATGGCTGGGACATATCAAATTGAAAACGAGGAATGTTCTTAAACTTATCAATAACAAATAAACGAAATTAAAGCTAAAAATGTACCTGGTTTACACACAAGTATGATAAATGTTATCATCAAATGTTTTACCTAGAAAATCTAGGAGTATTCATATCAAACATGAGAAAGTTATTAATATTTACTTTCACGATAATTAATTAAATAATACCTACTAGCATTTTATTATATTTCTTTCTATGTTGTATTTGACACACAAAAACGGGATTAGGCACATACTAACTAAAGATCATGCCGCCCTCTATCATGAAACTACTAGACAGATTTTGGTGATATTTAATGTAGGTACAGTCAGCCAATTTATTTGGTATATATACAGATAAGAATAAACAAAGGCTGCGTTTGTGTGTTGTTGTTAATTTTAGTGTAATACTGACATATGTATTTCAGAGCAAAGATACTATCTATAACTATGTTAAATGTATTCTTTAATTGTGTCTATAAAACCGGTACTCGACGAGTTAAATAATTGTCGTGAAAGTATCTACGTATATACCAATAATGTTTGAAAACATTGTAAAATATTGTAAATTGTTGAAAAATTCTATATTTACTAGAGTATAAAGGCAAATACAATTCAGCTAAGTTATTATACAAAAATATATAAAACGCGCAGCCATTTCAAAGATATAGTATATAATATGTAGAATATAAGTCATATATTATATTTTCCACTGGTTTATATATTAGATAGGTAGTATATTTAGTTAGGTACATTATATGCTTGTTGTTAAATACATGCTTACTTGAATGATAATGTTATTTACCTAATATTGATACACATTATTATTACAGTACTTATATTTACTTAATTGATAGTGGTGTAACTATAACTGGGGCAGTAAAGTATTACTTCAAAAATCTGAGAATTTAAATCCAACTTTGACTTTGCAGGCAGATGCTTCAACAGTATTATAACTCTTGTGAATAATTGTTTTACGGTTTATGAACCCCTTTCGAAGTTTGAAACTACTTGACGGCTCTCGAACAGTTACGTGATTAAGCTGTAATATCTAATTAATTTTATATGTCCCAAGACAAGACACGTAGTTGTTATATTATAGTCAAACTAAAAATCGCGGGTTACTCACGTGAATATACTGAGAAAAGCCTTACTAGTTTCGAATCACTGAGGGGTTCTTCCACAGAAATATTAAAAAACTTCTTTAATATATCTGTGGGTTCTTCTCATGAGAAGCGCGAGCGGCCGCGGTGATGTTGCGCAGGCTGCCCGAAACTATTAGAGCTTTTCTCAGTATATTCACGTAAGTAACCCGCGATTTTTAGGTAATGTGGTAAGTTTCATGATAGTTATTATAAAAATATAGTAGTCATCCATTAGTTGCGCCACTATTTCGTTATTTTGTGTATAATATATTAATCGTGTATAAATAATAATCTAATCGTTGTTGTTATGATTAATATCAGTAAGTTATACTACAGAGTTCAATTGAATCGAACGAGGCAGCTTAAATTTAATCTTATATACTATTTATATATATATAGCTGAAGAGATTGTTTGTATTTTTGAATCCGCTTATCTCAGGAACTACTGGTTCGATTTGAAAAGTTCTTCTTCTGTTGGATAGTCCATTTATTGAGGAAGGCTATAGGCTATAAAATCATGCCCCCATCAATAGGAGCCGAACAGAGCGGGCGAAACCGTGCGGAACTCGCTAGCACCTAAGCTACGTATTTATAGAACCTATATTATATTTGAGTATTGTTTATCAAACATTAATGTTTTGAAATCAAATGATTTAGCTGTATTTGTTATCTACTATTTATTTATATCTTATGTGTTAGGCGAATATGTACCTATATTTTTGGTGTATAAAGTTTTTTTAATATATACAAATTATATATATGTTTAAATTTTTGTTTTACAAAGTGACAATGTAAATATTATTAAAAATCAATTTCCATGAAATAAAAATACATATAAAAGTGAACACGAATTGTAAGGAAAGAAATCAACCGTGAAAAGAATTGGAACATGGCATTTTTCACTCGTTAAATTGAATTTTAAACCAATATGACAACTTGTGGCATTTAAAAAATGTATTTAAATTATAAATGTTGTGTGTACCATTTTACAAAATCAGTATTGTCCATCAGTGTCTGTCATTACCTAGTCTTGAAATGTTAATTTTCCGAATTAATTTAGATATGTTAAATTATTGTTTCCTAACGATTTTAGTCTCACACGTTTCACTTCATACCTACATCATAAAAGATCACAGTTCAGTAGACAAATGTGTTTGCAAAAACCATTCACAGAAAAATAAATAAGAATTTAGGTACACGTATTATAAATAGATAGATGCTGCACTTGTAGCTAGCAAGCCTAGTCCGTCACTTGCAGTTGTTTTATTTTTATACTTTGAACTACCTACTGAATAAATTATCCAGATTTTCACGGCCCATTGTTAAAACCACAATAACAATAATTAAATAAACTAAGTTTTTATAAACATATTTGTGTATTTTTATGAATATAATAGCCAGTCAAATTATTTGAGAGTACATAAAAAATGTTTCATTATAGATATAGATATGACATTCTATTTTTTTTTAAAAAAAACGTAGCGCCACATTAGGATTTTCTCCTGTGTCGTTTACAAAAATACAAATTTACATACACAATGACACCCAGACCCGAAACAACAATTTGTGGATCACATAAAGTGTTGTTCCGTGCGGGAATCGAACCCGAATCGAATCGACACGTGGCACGGTAGCCGGTTGCCCAACCACCGCTCCAACCGTGAAGTCGAAAATTTAAAAAAACTATTATACTTTATTATCTTACGTGCATATCAAATAATTTGGCTGACTGTACTTAATGTTAATTATAGTTTAAAAATATTGTTATATAAAACAACTATAATATTATTATGATTATGAGGCTACGAAATATTTTAAAGTGTTTAATTTTAATTTCTCGCATATTGTGAATTGTTACGCGTACTCTGTGATAAATATAATGATCTGCTTGTAATATATTGTGTAAATGTTAAATAAAAATGTTTGTAACGAACGTACTGTATCGACTATCGAGGAATAGGAGCCATATCTTATTAGAAATAAATGTACAAGCATCCCAGAAGTGTTTGATTCCATTAAACCTGCAGCCTTGTCGACCAGTTAAGAATTAAGGACACGGAACGGCCTTTTTTTTAAGGGGGGAAAATCATCGAATCATCGAATGACTGTTCTGCCGCCTGGGTGAGGCGGGAGGGAGTGTCACACTCTTACTGACTAAAAACCACCCCGTTCCTTCTCCTGCACGTCGAGCCGGAACCCCGGTTTCCCGTTAGCTTCTCCGCGACAGGGAACGGCCTTTAGAGTCAATTTTTCAATAAATAATCAGTTTGTAACGGTAGAATAAAATTGTGAGTTGACAGTTTTCAGTTTAGAAGAATACTGTCAAATCGACATAGGTACATAAATAAAGATAAAACAAATATTTCCATTCGTCAGTGTCGCTAAAACTCGAAAACGGATGAACCTATTTGGCTAATTGTAGTCTTTGTATTATACCTAAGTTTCGTGACACATACTAAGTAAATAAATTATTATGTTTTCTGCTTACTCACGTAATTATTTGACGAGGAACTTGCGATATGCAACACATAGGTCGCGAAATCCTGCTTATGAATATGAGACTCTAGCATGGCTTGAAACTAGTCGAGTTCCTCGTCAAATAATTACGCGTGTAAGCCGAAAACATAATAATGTTGGTCTTGAAATGTACGTAGAAGTCCAGGGAAGGTATAAAGGTGAGAAATAAATTTTGAGGCCTACGAAGTTTGCCAGGTCAGCTAATAGTATTTAATATTATTCCTCCGATAAAATGTATCTATCTGTCGTTGGAAAAATTAGCTCTTAGACTGGTACAGTTATTAGATTGAATATTCCTATTTGGACTGTTATCCATGTGTATAATTAAAAACCTACTTGACGTAGATAAGTCTACATAATTTTGCTATTACATATTTACTTATTACAATCATTTAAGTAGGTATACCTATTCCAATATTTAACCGAGTCTAGAGTAGACACAATAAACAAAATGATTTGCAAATATCACTTAAACCCCGTAATTACTCATCGTATTTTTAAATACCGTCTATCCAAATATTCTATTTATTGTATCATTCACCGAGGTCAATGTCAAACGTCACCGTGCGTCGCCGGCGCATGTTTTGGTGAACATTCTTAAGCATAGAACACACGTCCGCAAAAATATTTGTTTCATTTGTCCATCCTAAGTAGTTATATCGCGTTGAGTGACCTTGAGCTTTCTTATAAGGCCCATGTGAGGACCACGTTTCGGTTCCATCATTGGCTGCTGGATGCAGGTCGCTATCTATCGACCTATCTGGAAGTCGTTGAACAGTGCTGCAGTGTTCTGCAGTGAACGTCTTGTAGTTGATATGAAGACAATGAAGTATTTAGTTAATTATATTTTTTTTAGGATAGTGCTTAGTGCTACTCGTTTCTAATACAGATTATATTTTTACGGACTCAGATCGAGCAAAACCGCTCTTAAAGATTGGTGTTTACCAACCTAAGTATTTACTTACGTATGTATTTTGCCATTTTTTTTGTTTCTGTCTAAGATCAGTCAAATTGTTATAGGTAGTTAATACGACATGGCGAAAATGATAAAAAAATTAATAAAATGTGTGTTGTGTACACCTAGCCTTACTGACTAATGTGAAGTTGCAGTCATCGCACGCGACTATCTTCAATGCGCAGAGTAATGTTGTTATGTAGCCGATTTTGTAAATTCACGCCCACCGCGAAGCCGGTTGATGATATCTTGATAAATTGTTACGAAATACACATACAGTACTTACACATTTCTATTAAAAACAAGTTTATATAATTCTTATTATCAACATAGTGACTTCGCAATTTGTGTCAATGACTATCACTTATATCTCAGTAATATTGTTGTTCGCAAGCGCATCGCACGCGTCTCAAAATAACACGATGTTGAAGATTCCAAAAACTATGAGAGCCGTCGGCCTATATAAATATTTGCCGATAATCGATGTAAACAGTTTAGTTGATGTAGAAGTGAATGTGCCCAGTGTGACACCGTCTGATGTGTTGGTTGAAGTCAAAGCTACAGCAGTAAACCCCATTGATGCGAAACAACGTGCTCCGAAACCCGACATAGAAGCTACACCGCGTATTTTGGGATGGGACGGCGCAGGAGTCGTAGTCTCTAGAGGAGAAAAGCTAATTTATTCAATGTTGGCGACGAGGTATTTTTCACGGGTGAGTTGAGGAAGAGTGGCTCTAATGCACAATACATGGCAGTTGACCAATATTTGGTAGGAAAAAGCCCAAAAACTGGACATTTGAACAAGCCGCCGCTATACCACTGGTGACACTCACAGCCTGTGAGTCAATATTTGATCGTCTACTGATCTCAGAGAAGGACAAAGGAAAATCAATTTTGATCATCAACAGCGCTGGTGGAGTAGGATCAGTAGCCACACAGATCGTTAAGAACCTAGGTCTCAAAGTAATAGGCACTGCATCGCGCCCAGAAACTCAGGCGTTCACGCGCCAGTTTGGAGCGGACATAGTCCTCAACCACACGCAGGATCTGATACCACAGCTGGAGGCAAATGGGTTTGGAGCTGGAGTGGACTATATTCTTGTTAACTTCGACCCCGCACCGTACTGGGATACAATGATGAAGGCAATTAAACCTCAGGGTAAGATTTGTATGCTTGTGGACAGCAGCGCTCCAGTGAACATCGCTACGTTGAAAGACAAAAGTATAACTTTAGTTGGCGAAATGATGTTTACGAGAGTGAAGTACGACACCGAAGATAGAATTAGACATTATGAAATTTTCAAAGAAGTGTCCAAGTGGATGGAAGAAGGCAAGCTTAGAAGTCCGTTGATGAAAACATTGAGTCCTATCAACGCCGCCAACTTGCGAGAGGCGCACAAAATAATGGAAGAGAAAAAAATGATAGGGAAACTAGTGTTAACAGGATTTTGAGTACAAACTGAGAACTTAATGAGCATTTCATTGCTTATTTTAAATGTAAGGTAAGATAGTTATTCTGTAAGAGTATAGATAGATACCAATATTTATTTATGGTACTATTATAATTACTAATATTATTTAGTAATAATTCATATTTAAGAATACCTGTGTTCTTTATAGTTTTGCATTAAATATTACTATCATTAGAATTGCAGTATGCGTTATTTTTGCTGTCGGAGAAAAACATACTTATTAACATTAATTTGATTAACATGCCTACCTATAACTATTATAAATGTTGACGAAACATTACATTATTAATTTACTCAACTAGGACTCATCACAATGTGTAGTTGGTAGGTAAGTGGGGACACTGGGAAAAAGCACTACGCCGGTCGAAACTTCACCAGGTATTGGTGACTGGCAACCATCGATGCAATGCGGCCAGTACTTAACGACTAACTCGGGAGGAGGCTATCGTATAAGCTGGGAGCCAAACAGTCGGTGGCATCACTGAGTCGATTTTTTTTATGGAATAGGAGGCAAACGAGCATCCGGATCACCTGATGGTAAGCGATCAGCGCCGCCCATGGACACCCGCAACACCAGAGGAGTCACAAGTGCGTTGTCGGCCTTTTAAAAAGGAATACGCTCTTTTCTTGAAGGTTTGAAGGTCGTATCGGTTCAGAAATACCACCGACGATAATCATTCTACAATTTTGCTGTTTTTTGTGTTCATTGTGGAGATGAGATTGCATGACACACGCTGGTGGAGTGTGGCATGGGCAAGGACAACCCGCGTTATACTCATATGTTCTGTTGTATTTACGAAAAAGCATGTCGCAGACAGAGGCTAAGGAAAAAGAGAAATAATATCTTCCTTACCCTCCTGCAGCAGCGCACCAGGCTTAGGACTCCTAAGGAGGGGGCAGAAGTTGGCCTCTTCTGACCCCTAAATGGGTCTGTGGATGGTGGGCTTAGGGAAGTCTCCATTGCAAAATAGTTCTTAGGTCTACTTTACCCAGTTTCAAAAGACCCGAAGTGGCGGCGTGTACTGATTCCACGCGCGGCTCCGGTATGGACTAAGGAGGAGACTAACTCTAACTTCTCTATGTACCTGAGGTGATTGTGGGAGAACATACAGTTCTCGCATGCTCGACCTCACTTCTGAGACGGGACATGCGGAGTGATTACGACAATAGGTCTGACATCACCCTTTATTTTCTCCAGTCGAGGCTAACTTGGGGTAAAAAAAGATGTTGACTTGTGATGTGAGTACATTTTAATTAGGGGTCTCATCGCGTGATACTAGCTACTTATAGTCTTATACAACTTCCTAAACCACAGACAATAGACATATGGTATTTTATTCGTGTAATTCACCAATAAATAGCTGTATTTGTTGCCAGTCATCTAGATATTTATAAAATGATGTGCAAAAAACATTGTCACTCGATATGGGAATATAATCAGGATGATTACTTGAATACTCAAGATAAACATCATTGTTATACGATGGATTGTCTATGCATGGGGCACAAGGTAGGATAGTGACAAAATTCGTCTACTCTTATTCTGTTCTGCAGTCAACACACGGCACCTCTAAATAATAATGTCTATGTATTTACAAAACATTGAGGAACTTCTAAATTAAATTTCCGATAACTTTTGTCTTACGCAAGTACCTACTTATTCCGGTAACCAAAGGTGTAGTTTAATAATAAAAGCATCTATTTAGTCCATATTATGAACGAGATGTTTAAGTAGGTAATAAGGCTATTTTTGTTATTCATCAACTTACTTTTTAGTGTTCGTATGTTTATGCATAATGAAGACACATTTTCTTGGTTTCGGGGGCGAAACCTTCAAAAGGTCTAATATTTTGAGAAGCAAAACCAGAGACTGTAGGATTCCTACCTCACTACAACTGGTCACCATTAGGAATTTAGGACCTATAAAGCATTTCGGATCTTCTCAATAGACCAGCCCCAAAAGTTCCGCTACTGTCTCTGCACCGACCTAAACGGCACAAACCTAGGGCAATGGTGCTTTTCAAGCAACCCTTGCTTTGTTCTAACTTATTTCAGTAGACATATGAAGAGACGTTACAATTTACAATTTATACCTACGATAAAGATTGCAACAAGTGCCTACCTTGAACCTGAAGTATCGGTATGACAGTATCGTTGAAATTTTGATAAGAAACGCAAACAATACGTGATACGAATTTTATTTCAGCTTTGTCATGGTTGGCTTAACTATATCAATGGCATTGAATAATATTGTTTATATTCTTTTGAATCAGTTATTATTCACAATTCAACCGCTACACACGTAATCTAATTTATCAAAATGTCTGGTCTACCGAAAACAATGCGCGCTGTGGGACTCTATAAGTACTTGCCGATAGATCACGAAGAGAGTCTGCTCGACGTGGAAGTAAGTTTACCAGTTGTGACCGAGACAGATTTATTGATTCAAGTCAAGGCGGCCGCAGTCAATCCTATAGATGCCAAACAACGAGCTCCTAAACCAAAAGTAGAAAATCCACCGCGCATTTTGGGATGGGATGGTGCAGGAATCGTCGTGTCCAAGGGTGAGAAAGCTAATTTATTTAATATCGGCGATGAAGTAATGTTCACTGCGGACTTATCAAGAAGTGGTGCTAATGCCGAGTACATCGCCGTTGATCAATTCCTAGTGGCGAAAATACCTAAGAACTGGACATTTGAGCAAGCCGCCTCTATGCCGCTGGTGACGCTCACTGCCACAGAATCAATATTTGATCGCCTAGTGATCACAGAGAAGGATAAAGGAAAATCATTTTTGGTCATCAACAGTGCTGGTGGAGTGGGATCAGTAGCCACACAGATCGTTAAAAACCTAGGTCTCATAGTAATAGGCACTGCATCGCGCAAAGAAACTCAGGCGTTCACGCGTCAATTTGGAGCGGACATAGTCCTTAACCACACGCAGGATCTCATACCACAGCTGGAGGCAAATGGGTTTGGAGCTGGAGTGGACTATATTCTTGTTAACTTTGACCCCGCACCGTACTGGGATACATTGATGAAAGCCATCAAGCCTCAGGGTAAGATTTGTTTAATTGTCGACAGCAGTGCCCTCGTTGATTTGAGGCCATTGAAGGATAAAAGTATTACTTTGGTGTCAGAAATGATGGCCACGAGGATCAAGTATAAAACTGATGACAGGTTCAGGCATTATGAATTGTTGAAGGAAGCCGCGCAGTGGATGGAAGAAGGCAAGCTGAAATGCACTCTAAAGAAAACCATGAGCCCAATCAATGCAGCTAATGTTAAAGCGGCTCACAAACTTCTAGAAAATAAAACCTTGATTGGTAAACTAGTGTTGACTGGATTTAAATAATTTTACAATGACTTTGTACCTACAGCAGTATATACGACTACGCAATCATGGCTAAAAAGCTAGACAATTTTTTTGGTGAAGCTGATTTTACCAATATGAAACAACATTATTTATTAAAAAAAATTAGTAAGAAGACTAAGAAGACGTACCTACTCATCGAATTCTTCAATAAATGTTATGTAACTTGTGTTAACTAATACTTTTATTGTCCCATGATAATCTATACTTATAATAAATCTGTAGAGAGGTAAATTCTGTACATAAAATATATTTAAAAAATAACTATCAAGGGGTGGTTAGGGATCGCTACTGATGCCAAAAATGCAATCAGTAAAATTTTTGTCTGTCTGTCTGTCTGTCTGTATGTTCGTTATGGAAACAAAAACTACTCGATGGATTTTAACGAAATTTGGCACAATTATTCTTCATACTCTTGGGCAGGTTATAGTATACTTTTCATTACGCTACGATCTATAGGAGCAGAGCAGTGAAGGGAAATATTGGGAAAACGGGAGAAGTTACTCCATTTTTTAAACTTCCGTCGCGTGTGCAGGCTTATAGGTTAAAGCTGCATAGAAATCATATGGTTGAAATTAGCTTGACTCGATATTATAAATGAAAATAATTATGTGAGTTTATGTGTATGTTTGTTACTCAGTCATATTAAAACGACTGAAGGGACCGGAATGAAATTCGGAACAGAGGTAGATTATGGTCTGAAGTGATACATAGGCATTTTACCCCTGGGATCGCGGGCGAATCCGCTGGCAGAAGCTAGTAATGTAATAAATTGGTTTTTGCGGTAATTCAATAGCTTAGCATGGACTTTTAATTTTTCGTTAAACAATTTTCTTGTGTAGGTTTAAAGCAAGCAAGTTCTTTTTAATACTTCGAAAATAAAAATAAATTATATTTATTTTACCTGTAGGTATATCCAGCTCAGTTTCGTTAGCACCTTTTAAAATGTTTGTATTTCAGAACAAAATTATCATTTCTAGTTCTTAAATAGGTATTAAGTAAGTCTTCAGAAATGTCATTACTGCGAGGACCGCCCGGAGGACACGGTGGGGCATACGGTGTCCCTTGCGTGGGCTGAGCACCGCCGTGTCCTCAGGGATGTGATCGGCGACGGTAACCTCTCGCGTCTGGCTCTAGTGCGTATACGTGCTTATGGTACGGAGCGAGTGGGACTGGATTGCCGTCTCCTCCTTCTGCGAAACAGTCATGCTAGCTAAGGAGGAGGCAGGGCGCATGAGGGAACCAACCTCCTCACAGCCCAGCCGTCGCGAGAGACACTCTGGGCGTCTGGTATCGCGAGGCGATCGCCGGCCACCGTAAGGACGGGCCTGCGGATGGCGAGAACGGGTGACTCGCCGCCCGACCAAACCCGAGAGTACAGCGCGTCGCCTCAAAGAGCTATCAGACTACCACAGATGGGGCCAAATAGGGCTGATGCCGATATGGAGTCACGGAGGACATAACGGGTTGCCGGGGCTCCGACTCGAAGTGCAGGAGTAGGAACAGGGTGGTTTTTAGACAATAGGAGTCTGACACTCCCTCTCACCTCACCCGGGCGGGAGAAGTCATTCGATGATATTGCTCGCCCAAAAAAAAAATCTTCAGAAATTATACACAAAACTAAATTTTGAATAATTTAATCGCAAATTAGTGACCAAATGATCCTATTGTATGAGAAGAATTGCTAAGCACACTGGGATCGAACTCTTGACCCATAAAGGGAGATCCGGGCGCATTCCATGCTTTCTTCAAAACATCCATATTGCGAATTTCGTCACTAGTCGGCAGACCTTTCATTTTTCTTTCTTGATTCCATTGTAGTTCACGAACCTGGAGATACAAGGTTTATTATATTACTAATATTATAAATGAGAAAGATTGTGAGTTTATATGTAGGTATGAATGTTACTCAATCCCACCAAAACGGCTGAAGGGATAAAAACGACTGAGGGTTATTCGGAACAGGGATAGATTATGTTCTGAGGCCTTAGTACGAGTTAGTTTTACGCTTAAAGTAATCGTAAAGAGTACGCGTTCGGCACTCTGATTGGTTGGTTCATTGGCGCCGGCCAATCAGATTGCAAAACGCGTACTCGTTTCAAATACTTTAAACGTAAATCAAACTCGTACTAAGGCCTCTGGAATAATACGTAGGCTACTTTTATCCTACGACAACGCGGGCGAAGCCGCGGGCAGAAGCTAGTAGAATATAAATATTGATAGATTTTTTGTGCCAAAAGGATGAATCACTTGTTGGTAACCAGTATCGCTCATGGATACCTGCAACACTATTAAAAATGCAAGTAGGTTGCGATGCGATGCGAGAGAGGATTGAATAAATATTATGTAGTTGATTAATGATTACATAAGAGGCACTCTGAAAATGCAGGTTTATTTATTCATAATCATCATTCATTACCAGCCTATAAGTGCCCACTGCTGAGCGAAGCCTCTTCTCACACGGACAAGGTTTGAGCATTAATCACTACGCTTGTTTAATGCGGGTTGGCGATTACAAACTTAAAAATAAAAATTATAAGTCCAGGTTTCCTCACTATGTCTTCCTTCACCGTTTCTCAGTGGTGTCTAAATAATCTTAGAAAATACATATAACTCGGAAAAAGTCACATTGGTACTTGCCGTTGGTAGGTTTCAAACCCTCATGCATGAGAAGCGGGCGTCTTAACCTCCGGGCTACAACGACTATGTTTCTTGTTAGGTCACAAATATGTTTAAGGCCTAAGATTACTTACCCAACTCTTGAGTAATAGACCATAAAAATTTTCTTCATTCCTTCCAACAGAGCTAAGCTATTTTTTTTTATGTTTATTTATTTTTTTTATTACAAAAAACTCAACAGCTTATTTAGTAAATGCTACATCTATAATAATGACAAGACATGGAAACTTAAGCCAATAACAGAGTTTTTCAGCATGCGTCAGGTAAAAGTAGGAGAGTGAACAATATAAAATAAAATAAACAATCAAAGAAAATTTATATAAAGCAGTAATGCAATAAAGCTATTACTAGTCTCAAATGTCATAATTTCCAACTCCATGATGCTGTTATCTATACATATAAAATGAAACCCGTTTCCCGTTGTAACGCCATAACTTGAGAATGGCTGGACCGATTTGTCTGAATTATTTTTTGTTGTGTTTGTTATTGTCAGGAGGTTTTTATGATCTTATGGGAAATCCTGAAAATCTTATGGGAACGGGAGAAAACGGGATTGCGCGTACGAAGTCGAGGGCAGAAAGTAGTAGATAATAATGATTTCTAAACCATAAACTCAATGAAACCTTTGGCCAACGTCAAGGAACAGATGACATGATTTAACCAGTATCTATAGATATTTATAATTAGATTATTTTACTTGTTTTAATATAAAATAGGTATATTCGTTTATAATCTTTATATATATAATTCTTCTGTGAGTGTGTATGTCACTGAACTTCCCTCAAACGACTGGACCGATTTTGATGAAATTTTTTGTGTGTGTTCAAGGGGATCTGGGAATGGTTTAGATTCACAAATCAGCGTGGCATATGGCGCTGCAGTCGATGTTTAGGTTATTTATCCTGAACAGCTGAACTAATTTGAATGAATTTTCGTTTATACATTCAAGTGGATATGCAGGACAACGTCTGTTGGGTCTGCTAGTGTATATAGATAGTTTCTTTACCTTAGCAACATGATCTTCAGGCAAATCATCCAGAGGTCTGGAACAGTCTATCTTATCCAGGTCTATTGGTGTTTCACTATTGAGCAGCCTGTTCCACCATCTCTCTTGGACTTTCTCTGTAAAATTAAAACAAAATATTACGTCAGTAGGTATTTGCCTGGAGTATGGTAACTGTCTTCATTATATCTAGCAGTCTACAAAGATCATTGAAACTACCATTGATAATCACTACATAGTATAAAATCAAGTCGACTTTGTTTTATATGATGTAGTGATAAAAAATGTTGGTCTATTAGACACTTCATAAGTTTATTGTTATGAACTACATAAGGTTGTGCAAATAAAGGCATAGTTACATACATTATAACATCTACATATATATAAAAGAAACTCATGTTCGTTACATTATTTAATATTTAAAAATGTCTACATTGATTTGAATGAAAATTGGTAGATAGGTAGCTTAGGACTAGGAGACGGATATAGGATACTTTTTAACCAACACTTTTTTATACTTTTTACCGAAAATCACGAACGGGAATGGGAAATACCGGGATTGCGCATTCGAAGTCGCGGGCAGAAGCTAATTAATAATATTTAATTTAAACAGTCCAGTGAACAATAGCAAATTAAATATGTATTACCTAAATGCATCAACAGATTTCCACCAGTCATGCTCCAGAAGCTGTCCATGGCCTTTATTTTATAAGGCAGGGTGTCCTTTATGATAATGTCACCATTTATAGCAGCCACACTGATATCTCCTGTGTTGATAGTTACTTTCAGATCCTTGGATGATTTTACATCAGGGGGCAACTTCACAATGACATCTGAAATTAAGATAATTGTTGGTGAAAATTAGTATTACATGCTTATAACACAACATAACATCACACCTTTTATCCCTGAAGAAGTAGGCAGAGGTACACATGTCATTACGGCATTTTAATGCCACTATACAATGTAACATCCACTTTTCACTTTTTATGTTATGAGTCTCTTGTAACAGGGGGTGAACCTATTATCAAATACGGGGCACAATTCTAGACTTCCTGCTACTACTGAGATTTTTTTTAAAACCCAGTAATGGTTTACCCCACCCAGCAATCGAGCCCGAGACTGTGTGCCCAGCAGTCACACTTGTGACCATGCTTATACAGTGCTGTAATAGTATTAACCTGTTGAAATTCATACCCTAAATTTGTTCATACAAAAGTAGTCTCTAAACATTGGAAATAAGGTCTATAATGTAGTTAGTGAAGAGCGGTCACCGGTGACCGCTTAGGGATGTATGGGTGTGTGTTATGGTGTTAACATTTAACTCCTGGTTTGATAAAATGCATATCAAGTATGTATTTTTTATAGTCTCACAAAGTAGTAGTCAAAAGCAATATTAAGTTAGGTTTAAATAACCTTGAGCTCATTGGATTTTTATGTAGTAACTTAGAATAAACAGGTAGTTAGAGTAATGAAACTATATTAAGTACCTAATTCCATAATATTCTGTGACCACAAGTAATTCTCTCGCTCAGCACCATTGTAAGTATCACTGTCTTTCTGAACTGGTATCTCGGGAGGCTTGTAGCCTTCCGGGATAGCTTTAGAAGTACTTGATACAGGATCTGGAGACTCAGGAGGTTTTTTAACAATATCACCAGACTTGACAAGAATCTCTTCAGATTTTCTAGAAGATTCTACGGATGGTCAGGAGTTACTTCAGACTTTTGATCGGTTTGTGTTCCGGCTTCATCTTCACTTGCTTCCTCATTCTCAGCGACTACCTCCACTTCTTGGGCCACCGTTGAACACATAATCTCATTGGTAAGGTCTAACTGTTTCTGAGCACCATTTGTTCCCTTCCATGTTTTGGGGTCACATGTTCTAAGGACCTTGATCACCAGTTCCTCCGCAACTCCCGGCGGGAAGCCCATATTTTCGTACGCACCCTGAGGTACATAGTAGAAGTCGGTTCTGAAATTGGACTCGGTTTTATATGAGATGTAAATTAGAAATAAATTATAGGTACCTTCATTTTTGAAAATCACAGTAGTTAATTTTTGTATTACTTTTGGCTGACTAGATATCATCTCCGTGAACTAAACGTGAGTTAAGTTTCCAAATTCTTCAAAAACTTGCACAATTTACGTACAAAAACAATAGAAAGAACTAACCTTCTGGCTAAAAAGCCGAATATTGCAGATAAGAAGCCTAATATAGATTTTTCGTTGACTAGAATAGACGTCAACACATCGTCGTATTTTGTTACATCGTAAGTATCCGACATTATTACTGTATTTACTTCATAAAGATATAATTTTCGATGTGCTATTTTGTTGTTATTACTTGGTTGGAAACAAAAATGAGCGAGAGTGAATGAATTTGAATGAAATTAAGACGATTTGACATCTGACGTACGATGAAGAGTGAACTTTTTTGGCATTGACATTGCCACGTTCCATTTCACCTCAGACCCTTAACAAATTTAATTTCAATAGTTTTCATTTTATTAATTCAAAATAAAAAAATATATTCAAATTATCATTGCATGAATAATTGCTCTAAGTTCATGTTAATTTAATACTGAACTTTACACGTTGTTTAAATTCCCAAGAGTTATTTATTTTTTTAGGTTGGCATCCCAAAACCAGTTTTTTAATTTGCATTCCCGCCACTTGGCGGTGTTACTTCGCTTTCGAAAGTTTCACATCCGCAAGAGAGCGGCAAGGCAAGGCGAAGTGAAGTAGGCAAAGAAGTCTCGCGCGCGAACTCGGTACGCTGCAGGCGATGACCGCATTCATATGAGTTTTTATTATATTGTGTGTGTGCTGTCGTGTTCTCCGAACCGTTAAGTGTTTACGAAAATGCTGTATAGGTGAACTTTTAGGATACAAAGTGTTGTGATTGTGATAATATTCCTTTAAACCTCTTCTATCTTTTACTGTCTCTTGAAGGTTGTAAAAATGCCTTGCTCAGCGGTAACTTTGTCTATAGCGACCATTACAGCAATCGTGGCTGCTGCTTTAATGGCTATAGCCTTCTCGACGGATAACTGGCTTTATATTGAAGTTAAGCGGACACACATACAGGTAAGAATTACACTAATTAATATTTAATTTATTTCATGATATTAACAATTTAAAATCTTTGTTGACATTACTCTTATTTCTAAGTACCTACGTTAAATTCATTATTAGAAAAAAAAAGATTAATAATTAACAACATCTTCTAGACTTAGTTTTTGTATGTAGTTAGGTAGTCGTAGGGTTGTTAGATAGATTGAGATCAGTTTGTTTTCAAAATAACTACCTACATTTTAATTATCAGTTTATTCATCGAGTCGACAGTTTTTAAGCCTTCATAATCAGTGAATAAAGTGTCATCAGTTTCAATCTCAAGTTACAAGGTCGCAGTCAAAGTAATAACGAAACTAACTATTAAGAAACTTGGAGAACAGCTGCTACTAACACCTTCCACCAAACAAACAATGTGATTAACATCTTAGAATTTTTGTTCATTGCCAATTGTTTTGCACCATGCGTTAGCTAACTCTACGTAATGAATACAATCTTGATCATCAATAAATCTTTTAAGTTACGACATATCCCCTATTTCATTACGAATTTCGATCGTACCAGCGGAATGGGCTCAATAAATAAAATCATCGCAGCACGTATTCTTTCGAGTCCTTACCGAGACACCGTTATAGTAGACACGTTACGCATAAATATGCACGTATTAATGGCACGAACAAATGTGTTGGTAACTGTACTATTCCGTGAGCCAACTCCTGTGCACCCAGACGTGGAGATAAAGAAGCTACGACCGATAACGTTGCACGGCAGAACACGTTTTTAATAATACATTTTTGAGGTTCTCGAGAATCAAGTAATCGTCGATATTACTTAGAGATATACCTACACAGAAACCCCTGTAGTTAATACCAGAAACCGCATAATTTGCAAAAACTGGAACATCTCACGGGGTTTTTATGCCTATCAACCTGCCGGTTTCTGGTATCTTTTCTTAAGTCGGGGTCATAATTTTTTTGCAAGCCGAGCTAACTAGTATGGTCTGCCTTGTACTGTCTTCTACCTGCTCGAGGACGGCTTATTTTTTGTTTCTTTTGTAATAGGGTTGGGTTTTACTCGTAGACAGGTTACTACGTGACCAACACACTGACGAATGTCTTTACTATACCTCAAACAATTAGTTTTGTAGGAACCTATTTGCCTTTTTTGTAACAAGGAGGTAAAATAGATTTTTTTTAATTTGAAATGGTATATACAAGATAAAACTGTATAGGAACCCGGAGATCACGTTAAGTAATCCGTTATTTTAATTTTATCAGTACCTCACTAGTGTGTTCATTCATTGGAACATTGTTTGCTCTTATTGTATTACCGTAAATCATGATTTGTTTTATGTGAGAATAAAATGAGCAATTATCATACAATTTGTAGCCCTGAAGGATCTTTGTTTTTATAGCATTAATCCTTCTCAGAAATTAAAGTGACATATACCAGTCATATCGACAAGTTACAGTTAAAATAATTAGAACGAAATCTTTATCTGCGATTTCAGTAGCCGTTTGGATGCTTACGAGACTGGGCTCGTACACCACTGCAAAAATGACAATAGAAATCTGGCTTCAATATTTGAAAGACCTTTATAGTTCTCATCTTAAAATAGAGGTTCTACTTCTTCCGTAGGAGTATTAAAGTAATTTCCATACTATCTCCAATTGCGATTAAATTACATTGAGAAAAGTTAATCTCTCTTTGTTCTCATAGCATTCAATGAGGGCTTTCTTTAAATACAGCCTAATTGTAGTTTACGAGGCGTCTCAAAGACGTGTGGCGAATCCGCTACTATCTGCATATATTATCAAAGTCTATTAGATCTTGTAAAGACAAACAGTGGAAAGCATGAGAGAAATCGATCGTGAAAGTGACGAAATCTGTGTGAACATCTCTGAACATGCATACTTAGTTACCGCGTAATGGTAACCGTAACTCGTAAGTTACGTAAATTATTTGTTTATGATTTTGTGCTAAAGTCAGGTGTAGCGAATTTGATATAAAATGTTCCGTATGATACTTACAATTGTATTCGGTAGTTCATGTAAACCGCTGTTTGATTTGGTTTCGGTTATCGGTTTGGAAATTCTGCAGAGGATATGAATTTCACAAAATTTTATCAAATCCTGAGTGCTGGACAGATATCTACTTATGCCTATTTCGATTGGTCATAAATAACAAGAAATCTAAACCTACATCTTAATTTAATTTATGATAAAATAACATAGCTCAAAATATTCGCTTGAATGAACATCACATCAAACTTTCATCGTGCTTCCGAGTCCGAGTTGATTTTCTACGTTTGGTCTTTTTCGAGTTATGCAAAGGCCAAAGAAAGTGGTTTATGCAAATAAGTTAAATATTCTGTGAGTGCGAGATGGTTTTATGTAATAACACGAATTACGAACGGACTTTCTAGTGTTTCTATGTAGAATGCGTACGATAATAATTGTCATGGACCATGTTCTTAGTATAATAGACAGATGTAACCAATCAAGGTGGATCAAGAGACTTCTTGATTCCAAAACTAAAACTTTGTAACTATTGTAGTAGGTAACTATTCAGAACACGTAGATATTTTTAGCTGTTTGTCTATTTCTTTCCGCATTCGTGATAAAATGCAACAGACTTTGCTGCTCACATCTTTACGTAATATTAAATAAATCTGCCTCTAGTTTTAAAACCATGGAACACTGGCGAAGATAATCCTCTTTTCATTGACTCCAAAAGTTCACAGGGTAAATAAAAAACTTGAGAATGAATTTCTATTTACGGAAGAGCAAACCATCTGGGCATTAAGGGATGAACACAACAGTTTGTTTATTGCCTTACCTGGCAGGGCACCGGATGTGTAATGATTACATATCTACATCCACATAAAAACAGTTTAAAAAAGACAGATGATTTTAACTCTGGACCAGGTAGAGCTGTTGTTAATGCGTTCCGTCAACCGCACGTCGTCATCTGGGCTGCAAAAACTTTTTCTTATTTTTAAATAAAACTAAACTTAAATCCACATGCAAACCTGTTAACAGGATAGAGCAACAATATTGAAACTGTTCTATCAATTCAAATTAATACTCAAAGCCTCAAGTAAACCTGATAACCGTATGGAACAAGATTGCCTATGTTTTATCATCTCATTTTTATACGTTAAAAAGTATAGTGAATGGCAATAGATTCGTCCCGACTTTGCAACTGGTAGAATAGGGATGTAGTCCTCTTCTGTCATCTTGTTCTACCAGTAAGGCCGTGCTACTGCGACTAGAGACTGTTCTAATTTTATCCGTCTACGTCACCTACACTACTCCAAAGATAAGTCAGTAGCACTTTAAACGCTCGGGTCCTGGGTACACTGACAGGTGGTTTGTTTAATGCTTGGCGGCTGGTAAAACAGACACGTTTGGTCGCTTACTTGCTTGCCAGACGATTGACTGTACCATGCTAAACGTTAATGTTTCTTCATAGAGATATAAACGTTTTTTTTTTGGGGATAAACTAATCATATCACACAAAATTTATTTTAAACTCCTCTATTTAAGTATATATTGTAGATGAAACCTTTTTGGTCATTAACCCACTTACTTAACTGAATCACACTCATTCTGTTCTATTCAAAAGATGCTGTCTAAGATTTTTCAGATTTTTCTAGTTTCTACTTACTAGCTACAAAATAAAATAAATACTGAACCTTTCAGTTTGGCCTTAATTATTTTGTTAAAACAAACTTCGGTGACGAAAATTCCTAAATACGTGTGTCTACACGTCATCGACAATGGGTGATTATAGAGGCAACCCGCTTTCCTGCACGACGACACCCACTTCTCACGACTTCCGACTACAATTCTTTTATACTATTCCGCTTTCTTGGTTTCATAGAAAAGCCAATTGAAAGTTCTGTTATGTTTGGTTACGTGCACCACGGCGCAAACAGTAAAATATTGCAATAACTATTGAAAAATAACTAGATTATTTAGACCTAAGTAATGTATCGAAATTACCGGAAACAGCTTATAAATTTTATGTGACTGACGGAACTGAATTTAAAGATTATAAAAACATTGCTACCTTCCAAGTTGTTCATACTTTGTAAGTTTTGAAATTGTTCGTTAGATTGCATGTATACGGATATTGCAAAGTCAAGCGTGATTGCTGCCTCTAATAGACGGTTTAATCACGGTGGAGGTAATCATCGTAGCTTATCCATACTCCATGACTAGACTTCAAACCATAGCTATTGAAAACAAAAAGAAAAAATAGCGTACATCAAATACTAAAAGCAACGATTTTCTAAACTTAAAGGTTGGGTTGTTTCCTGGAGTTTCACTTAGTACATCCTCTAGAAGCAACAATCATGCTATCAGATCGTAAAGAATACTAATGAGTACTCAATAGTTTTTTCCAAAACTCGTTATTTGCGTAATTAAACGAACAAAACCGATATATTTGTCAACATGTAGGTATACGCTTGAACATTTAACATATTAAATCGAATTGGCCTCGTTATGTACAATAAAAACATTATCAAACCAGAAGAGTTTAAAAATATTTGTTATACTTAATTAACCGGATTGAGTTAATTTGCTCATTATGTCACTTGATTACCTGGTATATTACGTACCACATACAGTAAAGGGCCATGTGAACGTAAGGCTGTACAGAGAACAACAGTGCCACTTACTTGAAAAAAAAATGCTGCGATTTACGCATAGCGACCATATTTGTGTGGCCTTCTTTTTTTAAACATGACATAACCGATATAAATTGATTACTACAGAGTAAATATAAAAATGTAAAGTCTTGGAAAGTGTAAATAATTCATCTGGTTCTCAGATCGTTATAGTGTTGCCTTTCACAATTCTTTCCATGGTTTTCCGGCCTTTCACTGATCTTGAGACGAGACTAAATGTTATGTTAGCATATGTTAGACGTAAGTTATCATTATAAAACTGCCTAATTTTAATTGATCGACAATTTGATGTGAATAAAGTACCTATTCTGTTTTTAGG